TGGAGGCCACCTGCCGGGCGACTGCTGGGTAAATAAGAGCTGCGGGTGGAGGACAAGGCCCTTCGGGGGGACACCCCGCCCCTGGGGGCCGCTGGGGCTGGCAAGGGGACTGAGCAAGAGTGCACAGCTGGGGGGCTCCACAGCTGGGGGGCTGTGTGGGGTCCCCCCTCTCCCGCTGGAGGGGACAGTGCAGGGCTGACCGAGCTCTCACTGCAGGCCAGGCGGTTCCTGGGCGCAGGGGTAGCGGTGGGAGGCCTGTTTTGTGGAGCCCTCACCCCTTTGTGAGTAGACACCGTCTCGCCCCGTTGGGCAGGTCAGGGAACCAGGCCCACACTGGGCCAGGAGCTCCCATGCCAGGTCCAGCTGACCCTCGGCTGTGTGGGTGAGGCTGGTACGGAGCCGTCAGCTGCCCAATGTGAGGGCATCGCCCAGCATGGACTCTCAGGCCAAGTCTCTGTAAACTGGGTCCGAGAACATCAGGCCCCTTTCCTGCCTGGGGTCCTGGCTGGTGGGCTCCCAGGGCTTGGCCTGGGGGCTGGTCAGGGGAAGCCTCAGAGACTGGCTTGAAGCCTTTTAGGAGGCAGCCAGGCAGCCCAAGTTAGCAACCTTGAGTCCACAGGTGGCCCCCTTGAAGTGGGTTGCCCCAACCTCCTTTGCACCCGAGTGCCCCAACCCCAGGGACAAACTCAGGAACGGCTGCTCCAGGCCAGGCTGCTGCAGGAAAACCCCAGAGCTTGCTAGAACACCAATGGAACCAGAGGTTGAAGCAGTTGGTTCCAGTCCAGGAGGGCTTCCTAGAGGAGGCCTCCATGGAGCAGGGTTTTAAGGTCTGAGTAAGAGTTCCTTAGGCAGAGGGACCAGAGAGATAGGGTAGGGGTTAAGGACTGTGCCTTGCATGTGACTGACCCCAATTTGCTCCTGGCACTGTATGGTCCCCCGAGTCCTGCCAGAGTGACCTGAGTAATCCTTGGCATCACTGGGTTTGAGCAGCACCAATCCCCTTTGCCCACACATAGAACCCCTGAGCTGGTAGGCTCAGTGCTACAGGGAGGGCCGTGGGCCTCCTGAGCACTATTTGGGAGGCTCCAAAAGACAGAGATAAGAAATCCTTTAGGGAGGGCCGGAATGATAGCACAGCGGGGAGGGCATTTGCCTTGCACGTGGCCGACCCGGGTTCGATTCCCAGCATCCCATATAGTCCCCTGAGCACCGCCGAGAGTAATTCCTGAGAGCAGAGCCAGGAGTAATCCCTGAGCACTGCCAGATGTGTTCCCCCTCCCCAAAATCTTTAAAAAAAATCCCAGAAGCAGAGAGGATGATGAGGGTCTTAGTCAAGGCAGCAGGGGACCCCACAGGATGCCTCTCCCTTCCTCTGCAGCCTGAAAGTGCTCCTTGCAGGACCCCGGCCAGCTGGCTTCAGGTCGGCATAAGCCTAGGGTGGGGGAAGAGGAGGGAGCAAGGGAGAGGTCAGCCTGCTCCTGCCACCGCTGCCCTGGACAGCTTTGTCGGTGGCAGCAGCTCCACTGGCCGGTGTCCAGGCAGCGCCATGGGGCCCCTCTGCTCCTGGTGGGCCCCTGAGAGCGAGCGGGGCAGGCTGGTGCTGCTTCCGAGGGCTGGGCAGCGCCCTGCCTTTCCTCTGTGCTCCCTGCACTGAGAGACTTTTGGAGCCACCCTCCCCCCGGGACCCCCTCTCTCTGCGGAAGGTGGAACGTTGTCAGCTGGCTACGAATCGGTAGAACACGAGGCCATCTGCACCCGAGCGCGGCGTTCCCGGAACACACGGTCCAGTCCTCAGAAAATGTGATGTGCTTTTTATTAATTGTTTGGGTACATGTTATGTCTTCCCAAAAATTCCCTGAGTCCTGGGTCATCCACTGCACTAATAAACATGCACTAATAAACATGTGAGGGATGAGAAGAGCCTGCCAGTTTCCATGTTCCTGCACTCAGTCTAGAGCTGTACGCCTCTACACGGTAGCCTGCCACTCCCGTCTATGCGGTAGCTGGACATGGTCTCTCGGGGCCTGCAGGAATAGCTCTGTGGCTTTGTGCTCCGGGCTGGCAAGCGTCTGGTTATGAGTTCAATCCCCGGTAGTGCCACATGCAATGGTCCTGGAAACTCTGCTGTCTGTGACCTCTGGCTCTGACAATTTCTAGACACACTCTAGTTGGGTGTGTGAGCACCACAAAAGAGCAGGCTCCTGGCCAGCACCGGGACCGGAGGACGTGTGGGCACCACAGCCAGGCCTGTGAGCCCCGGTACATTGTGTATGGACGCAGCACATGGCAAGCAACACGCCCAGACCTGGTGGCTCCGCTAGGGTGAGCCCTGGGCAGGACGTGGGCGGGGACTGCAGCTATCCGGGTGAGCGCCATGGCCCAGAGGGGGAGGTGTGGCCCCAGCCGCAGCTCACTGTGTGAGCACCAGAGTCAGGCGTGGAGCGAGCCCTGGTCACCACAACACCTGCAGTAACAATGGAGGGAAAGGGGCGGAGTAGGGGATCGGAATCAAGCGGAAAAAGAAGCGGCTGTCTGCGCGAAACAGATACCCCGGTTCAGAGATTGGAAAATGAGATCATAACAACGGGGGCCAGAGAGACAGGGCGGGGGGGGGGACTTGCTTGCACACGGCCAACCCCAGTTTCAGCCCCTGCCCATCACCAGGAGGGATCCCTGAGCACAGAGTCAGGAGGAAGCCCAGAGCGCTGATGGGGTTGGACGGAAACTAAAAAAAAAAAAATTGTAAAAATATCCTAATAATTTTTATCTTGATTTTATATTGAAATAATTTTGGGGGGGGGGGGTGGAGCGATAGCACAGCAGGCAGGGCGTTTGCCTGGCATGTGGCCGACCCAGGTTCGGTTCCCAGCATCCCATATGCCCCCCCTCCCCGAGCACCACCAGGAATTCCTGAGTGCATGAGCCAGGGGTAACCCCTGAGCATCGCTGGATGTGACCCAAAAAGCAAAAAAAAAAAAAAATAATGATAATAATATTTGGGACATGGCAGGTTCAATGAAGCACATGATTAAAACATATTTCACTTTTTTCCCTCTTTCTGATGTGGCTCGTAGAGGTGTCACACATATGACCCATGTCTGCGGCTCCCATTGCTGAGAGTACCAGCCTTATCAGAACTAAGTTGAAGGGCTGGAGCAATAGCACAGCGGGTAGGGCGTTTGCCTTGCACACGGCCGACCCGGGTTGGATTCCCAGCATCCCATATGGTCCCCTGAGCACCGCCAGGAATAATTCCTGAGTGCAGAGCCAGGAGGAACCCCTGTGCATCGCAGGGTGTGACCCAAAAAGAACAATCCAGAGAGACTTTAGAGAGAACGGAGAGCAGAAGGAATATACGGGCATGGAACTAATTAATATTCCCTGGGAATATTAATTCCATGGGAAGGCTTCACGGAAGAGGTGACTTTTATGTGAAGTATTATAGGATGCATAGGAGTGCTCGAGACAGGTGAGGAAGAGAAAGGTGTACACAAGCTAAGCCACTGATACACCCGCTGGGTGTTTGGAGGGGCAGAATCCAAACGCTGTTTGAGGAAGGATCTGGAGATGCACCTGGACCGGGGGGGCTCAAACACCTGTCAAGTTTGGGCTGGTGGGAGGGGCTGAGGCTTAGGCAGAGGCCGAAACAGGCGGACCCAAAAGTGAGTGAGGTACCCCCGCCCCGCACAGACAACCCTCCTCAGAAGCCGAAAGAGAACCGGACCAGGCCTTGTTTGAATGTGAAAAATAGACTCTTTTATTTCAGTGTTTGCTCTGTGTGGCTCAAAAGCGCGTCTACTTCTGCCTGGAACCCCAAAGCGTTCTGAGGCTGGAGAGCCCCGGAGCAGCCCCCGCCGGCTCAGCCTGAGTGCATTAGCATGACTTTCCCTACATCCCTCCCTGGAACTGGCGAGGACCCGCGGGACTGGGATCCCCCCACGAGAGAGAGAGAGAGAGAGAGAGAGAGAGAGAGAGAGAGAGAGAGAGAGAGAGAGAGAGAGAAGTCTCCCTCCCTTCCCTCTTCCTTCCTGAAGGAGAACCGGTTCCGTGGAGAGAGTGAGGGATAGAATCAGGCATGAACACTCAGAGGCTCCCTAAACAATCTCAGCGTCACCCCGGGAGAGAGGGCAGCTCATTGGTTAGCGTCTGGCCGAGGCTAGGCATGGCACCAGGGCAGGTTCCTGGGGGGTGAGGGCATTGGGGACTCTGGCTGCTGCCTGGAGGAAGGCGGGACCTGAAGGAAGGTGCAAGGGTTGGGGCCGGGGCCTGGGCTGGGCTGGGCTGGGGACAGGAAGTTGGTTCGGTCAGGAACATCCCACACCTGTGGCTTGGGCTCAGAGGTGGGGGCAGGACTGCTGGGTCGGGCAGGGCCTGAGAGATAAGCTGACCCTGCCCCTCCCCTGACCACGAGGAAACCGAGGCCCAGAGCGGAGACCATGGCTGGTCAGAACCACTTGAACTTTCAATCCCTCCCCAGCCTCCTGGGCCCCCACTGTGTCCTCTGACAGTCTCCGGGCAGTGTGCTGGCGTCGTGGACAGGGGCTGGACTCGGAGTCAGAAGGCCCTGCCCCCTGCCCGCCCTTCATACGACCGGGCCTCGCCAACAGCTGTCGGTGGCCGCCTTTCTTCTCCAGAGCCCTGGTTTCCCCAATAAGTGGGCTGGTGGCTTTGTCAGCACGTGTGGGAGGGGCTTCGAGCCAGGACCACTGGGATGTGGGGGGACCCTGTTCCAGGGGCCTCTGGGCGCAGTCTGGGGGACGGGAGGGGGGGTGCAGGGCGCTCCCAGGCTCGGAGGCCCAGGTCTGCCCGTGGAGGAGATGGAGCAATGCGGCACAACTCTGCGTCTCTTCCGAGGCCCCTGTGCCCTCGTCCCCCACGTCAAGCCCAGGCTCCCGAGGTCAGAGTCCCGCTGTGGAGGTTCCAAGCTTTCCAGACACGTGAGGGGACCGGGCACAGGGTGGGGGGAAAGAGAGAGAGAGACAGAGAGACAGAGACAGACAGACAGAGAGAGCAGAAGCACATTCTATTCCAAAGAGCGCCCCCCGCAGGCCGCCCAGCCCTCCCAGGGAAGCCACAGCCAGAGAAGAGGCGGATTTTTGCTCTTTAGCTTGGGACACAGAGTGGGGTCAGTTAGAGATTCTCAGCCGGCTGCGGAGGTGCTGGCACGGGCGCCCCTTAGGGGGGGCCGATGATGACGTTCCGGAAGCCCTTCACGGACTTGAGCCTGTCACTGTCGAAGTTGACCACTAGCTTGTGGCGGCCCACGAACTGCGGGAGCAGGTCCACCCGTACCTTGACCTCCTCGCCCGCCTCCACGGGGTCCGCGCTGTGAGGACAGAGAGACGGTATGAGGAGAGGGGCCCCTCACCGGGGACCCACACAGTGCCAGAGGGGCTGCACCCCTGATGGATGCCAGGGCCGCCTGCTCTCCACGCCCCGGACACCGGGTGTGAGGGTGTGTGTGTGTGTGTGTGTGTGTGTGTGTGCAGACGTGTGTGAGAGTATACAGTGTGAGTGTTGTGAGTGTGTGACTGTGTGTGGGAGCGTGAGGGTAAGTGTGTTGAGGTATGTGTGTGTATGTGAGTATATGATGTATGAGTGTGTGCATGTGAACTAGGGGTAAGGGCAGCTCAGATAGAGAAGGGAGCACCAAATAAAGGGTTTTGGGAAGATCCACCCAGGATGGGAGAAGCATGCTGAAAGTAGACTATAGACCGAACATGATTGCCACTCAATGCCTCTTTTTCAAACCACAACACCCAAAAGAGGAGAGAGAACAAAAGGGAATGCCCTGCCACAGAGGCAGGGTGGGATGGGGGGTATGGGGGGATGGGAGGGATACTGGGATTAGTGGTGGTGGAGCATGGGCACTGGTGGAGGGATGGGTACTCGATCATTGTATAACTGAAACCCAAGCACAAAAATTTGTAAGTCACAACTGTACCTCATGGTGTTTCACTAATAAAAATTGTTTTGAAAAAAGAGTGTGCATGTGAGTGTGCGAATATATGTAAGAGTATGTGTGAGAGTGTGTGTGAGCGTGAATGTGAGTCCTGTGTAAGAGTGTTTATGTATATGTGAGTGTATGGGTATGTGAGAGTGTGTGTGACTATAAAGTATGTGTGAGTGTGTATTTGGTGTGTGTGAGAGTGTGTATGTATTTGAGAGTGTATGAATATGTGTAAGTATGTGTGAGCGAGAATGTAAGAATGTGTGTGTGAACGTATGTGAGTCATGTGTAAGAGCGTGTATGTGTGTATGTACGTGAATATATGTAAGAGACTATTGTGAATTGAAGAGTGTGTGTGAATGTGTGTGAATATTTGCCTGGGTGTGAGTGCGTGTGAGAGAGTGTGTATGTGAGTGTGAATGCATGTGAGAGAGAATGGGTGAGCACGTGTGTGTGAATGTGTGTGGGTGTGAGCGCGTGAGTGAATTGTAAGAATGTGCATGTGAATGTATGTGAGTATGTGTGTGTGTATGTGAGAGTGTGTGTATGCAGGAGTGTGTACATGAGAGTGTGTGTGTGCATGAGTGTGCACACGCGTGTCTGTGAGTGTGTATGAGACCACAGTGTGTGTGCAGGGCTGGCGGTCAGTCATGCTTGCAGTGGGAGCCTGTGAGTGTGTGAATATATGTAAGAGGGCATGTGAGTGTGTGCACATGTGTGAATGTGAGTCACGTGTGAGTGTGTATGTGTGCATGACATGCATGGGGCTGCGTGCGAAGGTCTGGGGCTCCACCGCGTCTGAACTGCACTGGGACAGAGCAGCAGAGGCGGCGTGTGTAGACACAGCCCGCAGCTCTGAGGACACTCCCACCCGGGGGGTTCGGGCAGTGGGAAACGTTTTGCGTGGATGTGGGGCGAGTGTGGAGGGTCCCTGAGTGCAGGGGCGTCTTGGCGCCTGGGTGGGCATCGGGCGGGCTATTGGGCAGCTGTGTGGGTGCGTGGGGCGTGGGAGGGGGGGCCGGGGCCTCGCGGGTGGGGGGCCTCCTCCCCGGGCCCCCCCACAGCGGCCCCACTTACACTTCCACGGACTTGTGCTCCTGAGTCAGGCCGGCGCCCTCCACGGTGAAGACGCAGCCCAAGAGGCGCACCGTGAGGGGGTTGCGCAGGGACACCTCAGCCACCAGCTTGCGGTTCTGCTTGGGCTCGCCCAGGATCTGGAAGAGGGCAGAGGGCAGAGGGCAAAGGGCAGCTGTCAGGGGCCTTGAGGAGGAACGGGGCTCAGAGCCCCTCCGGTGTCTGAGGGAAGCCAGGCCCAGCCCTGCCACCGTCACTCCCCACCCCTGCACCTCCACGTCCTCATCTTGAAAACATGGAGGTGACATCTGCCCCGGGCCCCTTCCTGGAGTGGCCTCAGGGGGGGTCCCTTCACCTCTTGGACGATGGGGGTCCTCCTAGCTCCCCCCGGGGTACCCGCACAGGAAGCCCAGGGCCCCGGGGTCACGCGGTCAGGGCTCACTTGGAGCTGATGTTCCCATCACCACCCCAGCCTTCCCGGGGGAGCCGGGCCCTAGGACTGCAAAAGTGGCCGTTATTGACAATGGGTAAAGACAGCGGTAGGGGTCTCCCCACGTGCAGACACTCTGCTCCGTGAGTGTGGGGACCCCCGTTCCCAGGCGACGCAGAGAGGAACCTGGCTCAGCCACCTGTGAGCTGTGTGCTCTGAGCAAAGGTGGCTCTTGGTTGGACATCATGAGTCTTGTGGGGCCGTCCTGTGCCTGGGCGTCTCCCGGGTCTGTCCTGTGACACTTCCACCCGTCCCTGCAGGGCCCCCGGGGCCTGGCATGCAGCCCAGAGGTGGTGTCGTGGTGCTTATTGCATGCTCTGAGGCCAGGCGGTGTCAGGGACGGAGCCCGGGGCTCTCACATGCCTGACGTTGTGGACTGCCTGGGGACTTCCACCCTGGGCTGGGCATGTTAGTAGGGACCAGCCTGGGGTCCCACCGTTGGGGTTCTGAGGGTCTTTCCCAGGCCCCTTCTTCCAGCTGCCCCCGATTTGGCTTTGATTTAAGACCCCCAAAGGCGTGAATCATGGTGGAGCCTTCGGGCCCTGCGCCTCTCCCCGCCTCACCCCTACCTCGACCTTGGGGCTCCCCGCCTCACCCGTATCTTGATCTCGGGGTTCTCCAGGTAGAGGTCCCTCTCAGCCAGCACGTAGTTGTTGCTGGCAGGTTCGATGAGGAGGGCGCGCACCTTGATGAGGTTGGACTCGGTCAGGCAGTCACAGTACTTCTCATACAGTATGCGTAGGGGCACGTTCTTCTCTGTTGAGACAGGGGCCATGCGGGCAGTGCTGGGGGGCCGGGGGGAGGCGGACACCGCCCGCCCGGGGATGCTGGGCCTCCCCCTACCCTCTGCCCTCTGCTAACGGGCTGGACGTGGGCTGCTCGCTCTGTGCCCGGAGCTTGTGCTTAATGTCTCTGGAGCCACCGAGTGCTCACTCCGTGGATGGGGAGGGGTCTTTGAGTGCCGACAGGATGGGCTGGGAGGCTGGGGAGGACGGGCTGAGTGACTGGGGAGGACGGGTGAATGGTTGGGAGGATGGATCCTGTGGCTGAGCCGGGTGGGGTAAGGGATGGACGGGCTGTGTGAACAGGGGGCAGTGGAGCATACCCAGTGAGTGGGCAGGAGGCAGGGCCTGGCATCAAAGCGTGAAGGGGGACATGGGCAGTGGACGGGGTGAGGGGTTGGGGGACAGGGCTTGCCGGCTGCTGCTTCTCCCCGGGAAGGGCCCGAGCTGCCGTGGGCTGCACCTGAAACGCCCCGCTTCCCCTTCACCGCAGCCCTAGAAGAGCTGGACTTCTGCTCCTGCCCACTTTATAGACAAGGATACGGAGGCCCATGGCCCCGGGTCACGGGGCTGTCCCTCCTGTGGGCAGCATCTCGTTACCCTACATGGTGGGGCTGGACCCATTTCACAGGTGGAGGAACCTTCTCCCACTCAGTGCTGGCATGACCTTGACCATGACCATGACCTTGACCATTGCCTGGAGCATGACTCCACCCCCACCCCATTCCCCTCAGCTTCCTCCCTGTCCGGGGCCTCAGACCCACATGGCAGAGCTCATGGCATTGGGGGGAAGGGCTGAGAGAGGAGCTGGCAGGGCCCCCCACAAGAGGAATCTGATGAAATTCTATATCATTTTTCTTCCTCTCTCTCTCTCTCTCTCTCTCTCTCTCTCTCTCTTACTTTTGGGCCACACCAGGCAATGCACAGGGGTTATTCCTGGCTCTGCACTCAGGAATCACTCCTGGCGGTGCTCAGGGGACCATATGGGATGCTGGGAATCGAACCTGGGCTGGCTGCATACAAGGCAAATGCCCTCCCTGCTGTGCTGTCTCTCCGGCCCGCTAACCAATTTTCCTGACCAGAACTCTGTGACCAGGGCACTGGCGCTGCCTGGGGAGGAGGAAGGGGCTGGGCACTGAGAACCCGGTCCCTCTCCTGCTGAGGGTCACAGAACCAGGCACACCCCACTGCTCCTCTTTCTGGCCCCCTCCCCGCACCCTTCTCCCAGAAAACGTTTCCAGAATGCAGCCATGCGTCTCCGTGGCTTTGGAGTCACACTCATTGCCACCCAGGGACAATGCGATGCTGGGGAGCGAGCCTGGGGTTCCTGCATGGAGAGCCTGCGCCCAACTCCTCTGGCCATCCACCCCCCCCCCACCCCAAGCTTGTACGTGACATTGCATAACCTGAAGCTGAGCTTCAAAAGGACAAATGGAAGTTTCCCATGAAAATAAAGTGCGTCGCAAGCCTGAGAAAGAGAAATAACGGGCAAGGTCTGGGGCCTGGATCATGGTTAGCCCGGCAGGGGTCAGGGATGCGCAGATGGACAAACGGACGGATGGACAGACAGACCCCAGTGCCGGCCAGGTGTCACCCTGGACCCAGGCCTGGCCAGCACCCAGGGCTTTGCGTCCCTGGCCATGGAAAACGCTGCCGGGCCTCTGGTCTTTCGTTCCCAGCCTGACCCCGCCCCGTCTCTGATCATATGACACGGCAGAAGCAAAAGCGAGGCTGGTGCCAGAAGGGAGGACGAGGAGGGAGCCTCGGGCCGGCCCTGGTGGAGCAGCGGAAACTGTGAGCAGCTCCCCGGACGGGAGGCGAGGACTGTCCCCCCGGAGGGGAGGACGTGGCCCCCACTGTTGACTTTTCCGGGCCGGGCCCAGGGTGGGGCTCTAGGAACCCGCGGTCTGTGGTGCATGGACCGTGGCCTTGGCCCGGGGCCCAGGAGCTGGTGGAGAGCAGGGAAAAGTGGGTCGTGGGTCCTTAGGCAATTTTTCCTGTTCTGGAAGATTCCTCAGAGATGAGGGTCACGGAGGCTACATAGTATATATTCTAGTGCCTCCCACCCCGCCCGCGCCCCGTGGGGTTGAGGGAGGAGGGCAAGCAGCGGAGGGAAGAGGAGAGCAAGCAAGGAGGCAGGGCTGCGGCCACAGGGTCCCTCTCGCCTCTGGCTTCCTGTCCACTCGCGCGTGGAAGCCCCTCAGGTTTTATCACCAAGAACAATAAGCAGCTCGAAGGGGCAGGACCTGAGCTCAACGTCTACCTGGGCCTTCCTGGGCCAGCTCTGCTTCCACCAGGGGGCGCATGCGGCACCTCCTCCCCTCCCCGCTGCCCTACAGTGCCCACGACGTGCCCAGGAGGATGAGAGACACAGCCCAGACGGACAGATGGACGGAGTCTGGGACCGAGCGGCAGAAAAGCCGAGAGATGACACTGTCCCTCTTTCAGCACCTGGTCCCCATGCTCCAACCCCTCGAAGGGCCGCAGAGATGGCTCAGTGGGCAGGGCCCCTGCTCCTGGGCTGCTGACCCCCATGCCCGGTGCTGCATACGGTCCCCCACTAAGGGTGGCCCCTCAGTATCTTCAGGACTGGCCCAGAGACAAACAAGAAACAGCCCATCAGGGCCAAGGGCGGAGGCAGAGGCTAGAAAGGAGGAGGAAGACGCCAGGGCAGAGGGGAGGCCTGCAGGTGGGCAAGAGGCCGGAACCGCCCCTTCTTCTAGAAAGTTCTCTGGGCAGCGCTGATCAAGCACCTCTTCTCTGGAAAGCTCTGAATGTCCAGAGGAATAGCGGGGCAGGGGGTTCCTGCCGTAGAAGAGGAGCAGAGGTGAGGCCACGGGGGCCCAGGAGGGGGCCGGGGCAGCCATCAGGCGGCGGAGGAGCTGAATAGTCTCGCGGCTAAGGGCACCGCTTCATCTCTGCGCTGTGTGAGCCTGGGAACATTACTTAACCTTTCTGTGCGGTCTTCCCACCTGGATGACGATGGGACCCTACAAGACTCTGCCCCCTACTTTTGTCACAAGAGTTAATGGGTTGGGGCTGGAGAGACAGCACAGCGCGTAGGGCGTTTGCCTTGCACGCGGTCGACCCGGGTTCGATTCCCAGCATCCCATATGGTCCCCTGAGCACCGCCAGGAGTAACTACTGAGTGCAGAGCCAGGAGGAACCCCTGTGCATCGCAGGGTGTGACCCAAAAAGCAAAAAAAAAAAAAAATTAATGGGGTTGGGCTGGAGAGACAGTAGCGGGGTCAAGGCGGTTCCCTCACAGGGGGCTTTGAGTCCCGCTAGATCCCCAGTGGTGCATATGTTTCCCGAGCACTGCCGGGGCTCACTCTTGAGCACAGAGCCAGAACAGCCCCTGAGCACCCTACTACCTGGGATAACCCAAACCCCATGTCCCCGTCCACCCCCACAAAATGAACTGAGTCAGGTCAGAGGGAGAGAGCACAGGAGTTAAGGCACCGGCCTGCTATGCAGGTGGCGGTTCTGTGTCCGACAAGCACCGCCAGGAGTGGCCCCTGAGCACTTCTGGGTGAGCCCCCAGCTGAAAGAACTACCTGGGTTGCTACTTATCGAGTGCTGGGGACAGGGCCTGTCCCAGAGGAGGCGGAGGTCGCCCACACCCGCTCAGCGTCGCGCCCGGCCGGGCTCACGGCCTTACCGGAGAAGGGCTCCAGGAAGAGGTCGGGCAGGTGCTCGGTGCCGCACTCGGGCCCCAGGACCCCGTTGTAGCTGACGGTGCGGGCGCAGAGTAGCAGGCTGCAGGTGCGCTCCTCGGCCGTGTTGTTGGAGATGTGGGTGAAGACGTCGAAGTCGCTGCCCATGCTCATGCCCTCGGCCACGCGGATCCGCATGGCCAGCTCCAGCTCCTCCTTCTCCACCAGCTTGTTCAGGTGGTTGGCCCTCGTGAAGGCCTCCCTCTCCTCCGCGGACCCTGTGGGGACAGCAGATGGGTAGGGGGGAGCGGGGGCGGGGAGGCTGGGTTGCCGGCTCCCTGGTGACTCAGCCCAGCAGCCCCCTCTGCCCCTTCTCTGCATTCCTGTACCAACAGGAGGAAACTGCTTCCACGAGTGAACTCCTATACTGCCCTCAAGACCCAGCCCCCAATGACCCCTCCACCAGGAAGCCTCTGCCTGCTCCTGCTCCTTCCTCAAGATGGATGAGTCAGAGGCCTGTTGGAGTTCCTTAGCTGCCTACTACTGTCAGGGTTTGTCAGCCCATTTTCTGTTCACATTCTTGGCCTTTTAAACCGAGAGAGAGAGAGAAAGAGAGAGAGAGAGAGAGAGAGAGAGAGAGAGAGAGAGAGAGAGAGAGAGAGAGAGAGAACAGAAGCTTAGGTGCTTGCCTTACATATGGCTGGGGTGCCACTTAAGATCCCTTGAGCACTGTCAAGGGTGGTCCCTGAGCACCACTGGGGGTGCCCCTCAAAAAAGGAAATAAGGGGCTAGAGAGGTGAGAAGACACCTGCCTTGCACACAGCCAACCCGGCTTCAGTTCCCAGCACCCCATATGGTCCCCCAAGCCCGCCAGGAGAGATCCCTGAGTGCAGAGCCAGGAGTAAGCCCTAAGCACCCCCACCTCAATAAAAGAAAAGTACTAAGCCAGCGTTTCATTCATCTTCTGTCAAGTCCAGGGCCTAGCACAGTGCTCAGTGCCAGCTCAGCACAGGCATGACATCTCCAAGCACAGGCTTGCTTCTGCCTGGCCCCTCCCCCAGCCCTTCCTGACCATCATCAGTTCTACTCAGGAATGCCCAGCCCACCTTCCTAGCCCGGTTGCCCCTTCCTGTGACCTTGTCACGAGCTCCTCCAGTATCACCGGCTCCCTACATGTTCTAGCAAACCACCCACTCTAGACCTTTCCTTCGGTTTGACTCTGTCCATCCAGACCATGGCCACTCCGTGCCCCGTCCAGTCCCGGAGCATAGTGGAGTGTGGGATGGGCCACCGAGTGGGCACACTCTCCAAGTTCAGGAAGACTCACTTTAGCTTCGAGGACTGGGCCCTAGCTTACGTGCAGGTGCCCCTTGGGTGTGATCCTTGGCTCTGTTTGGTCTGCGGGGTGTGGCCCCCAAAACTACAAAAAAATTCAGTTAGGTGTACATGAATCCAAATTTTAAAATAATCAGGGTTCTTTTCTCCAACTACTGACTTAGCTTGAGCATTAAGAAAAAGTATATATATATCTCAGCTCCTCTCTGAACCTTCCCCACCCATCTGCCTTCACACTCTCCAGTCTGATGAGAAACTGCGAAAGCAAAACTCCACAGTTCCCAGAAGCTTCCGCAGTGGCCTCTGGACTTTGGAGCCGCTCTACAAATGTGTTGTGATTAGCAAAGCGAGCACGGCTGTCCGCACGGCCGTTCATTTTCTGCGAACAAGCACATCTTTCCTCAATCACAGCCACCCCCTCCCCTTGGTGAAGAGCCCAAACACCCCAAAAGACGACGCTAAAAACCAAACGGAGGGCCCAGGGAGAGCTCAGTGGCAGGGGCCCTGGCCTGGCAAGCATGAAGCCGTGAGACTGAGCCCAGCATGACCCCACAGGCTCAGGCTGAGCTGGCTGGCACGGCCATTTGGGATCCCTGGTGCCCCCAGCTGAGTGTGTGGCCCCAGCCAGCCCTGCCCCCAGAGCACAGCCGAGCCCAGCACCCAGGATGGCAACACAGCGGAGGGAGGTAGAACAGCCTCGAGAGGTAAATAGAAGAGAGTGGAATATAAAATTCTTCCCCTAACAAATAACCCTCTCGGAATAACCGCAGTGTGTGGTAAGCTGCTCTCGTTCCTCAGGAATTTGAGATGGAATGTGACCTTCCTAAGTCATTTCTTAAGATGACCCACAGGTCATGGTGTCGGCAGTCTGCCCAGTCTCACACATGCATACACACATGCACGCACTCACACCTGAGTGTACACGTGCCAGCATGCGCACGCACACACTTGCATGCATGCACACACCTGCACACACATGTGCACACACACACACCTGCACACATCTGTATTGTCCACAGCATGTACACATCTATGTGCACACGCATGCCTGCACACACCTGTAATGTACACAGCATGTACACACCTAAGTACACACACATGCACACAAACCTGCACATATCTGCAATGTACACAGCATGTACACTCCTACACGCACACACACTTGCACACACCTGCACGCATGCACATACCTGCACATACACATCTGTGCGTGCGCACACACACACACACACACACCACACTTCGAGGAGGCAGCGGCATGCCCAGACGCCTACCTTCCGGGTACTTGTAGGTGTGGGTGATGTCCTCCCTCTCGTCGCGGCCCACACGCTTCGTGCTAATCTTCTGTCCCACGATCAGGGAATGGTTGACGGACTTGTGCATGGACCCGTCTTCCTGCTGGATCCAGTCCACCACGTCGGCGTTGACCTCAGCAAAGACAAAGGGGGCGTCGTACTTGGGGGTCAGGTCGCCCTCTTTGATGGCACGGACAGGCACCGGGCCACAGCAGTAGGTGCCTGGTTGGGGGGAGCAGAGAGGAGGGCTGGGTCTGGCTGCAGGGGAGAGGCCTCCCACCCCGGACCCCCACCCATGAAGCAAACGTCTTATGGCCACACAGCCCTTTTAGCCAGCGCTCTGCCCTGGAGCGACACTAGGTGAGCACCCGGGAGGTGGGCTCGGAGGCCCAGCTCTGGGCTCATGTCTGCCGAGGCTCGGCCTCTGAGTAGCTGAGTCAGGGCTCTGCTCTGCTCCTCACTTTCAGATGTGAAGTTGAGGTGGAGTCCCACCTAGTAAATGATGAATAAAATAGAAGCGAGTCCCACCGCAGCCTGAGGAAGTGGAGGGGCAAGCCGTGGACAGTACTGCCGAGGAGGCACGGTGGTCTCCCGGCCTGCCCCTGCCAAGCCTTGAGCTCAGCCCTGCACACACACACACGAATGCCTGGAGCTCCTGTGTGCAAAAAGCCCCAGTTTTCTCTCCGCGTGTTTTACAGCCTCCTCACACTGGTCAAGATTGAAAGGCTGCAGACTTTTGACTTTGCCCCGGTAGATCCATCGGATGGAACGGGGAGTTGAAATTCAAGTCACAGCAAAGTATGTGATGGAGAAACACCAATGGTACAGAGAGATGCCGCCGAAGTGGGTGAAAAGCACATGGCCCGGAGTTCGCAGCCCGGGGGCAGAGACCCCAGAGCCTCTTCGAGTCGAATTCAGGGGCCGTGAACTCGGAGGAGAAAAATCACATCTCGGTTTCCGCTAAACTTTGAAGGCCTTGCCTTTGATGGTGACAGACCTTTGATGTGAGCGCTCTCGAGAGGCGTCACCGCACGGAACACAGCGCCGTGGGGACACTTTGTTGTTCTGTCACCGAATCACGGGACTCTGCCACTCACCACTAGATCATGTCCCAGAGCATAGAGCACATTCAGCTGGAAGTGCTGTCACTGTGCTTTGATGTAATTTGCTTTTTATTTTAAATAACCCTAGGTGCTATCGTCTATAATTTCTAAAATATTATTTTGCAAAAGGATCAATTTGGCTTTTCCAAATTTCGCTTTCATGTTCACTCGTGAGCATTCTCTACACCACCACACCCCACCCCCCAGCCCTGGGCAAGGGGGTTTGGAGGTCTGGAAATCCCCACAGTGCTCACGCACTGCTTCCAGTGTGGTGCTCTGGGGTCACTCCTGGTGCTCTGGGGGTCGCGCAGGGCTGGAAATCGACGCTGGTGCTCCTGCATGCACTGTATGTGTTCCAGCCCTTTGAGCACCCTCCACGCCCCCAACACCCACAAAACAATTGGAAGTGACCAGAAGCTTTGAACCAAGGCCTGATAACGTCTTGCCGAGACACTCTCAGCCCTTGGATCATCAATGAGCGTTGATGATGGAGGAAGCCTCGGAAGCCGAGGTCTGCGGTTGCTCCGGCACCTGTGTGTGTTTCCTTCTCCCCAAGGCCATGAAAGATGCGTTATAAACACCCAGTGTGTCACCCACAGTGCGTGGCCCCATGGTCCTGGGGTCACCCTGCTCCTCCCCGGCTGAGGGATTCTGGGGCCACCATACCCACCCACCTTCGCTTATCTCCTGGGGCGTGGGGTCCAAGGCCTGCCAGCCCTCGTACCCCGGCTGCAGGTCCGGTCTGGTCATCCACGACTCCACCCAGCAGTGGAAGTTCCTGTGGGAGTGAAGCAGCTGTGTTGTCAGGATGTGGCTCAGCGTCCCCGTGGCCTCCGTGGGCCCGTGGCCTTTGCGGGGGCCTTGGTCTCCTGAGTCCCCCAGGCCGCACCTTTTCTCCTCTCTCACTCCCAGGGTCTCGCCTCCGTGCCCACCTTCTTTTCTACCCATGGGTTCTCATCTCCACCCCTGCCCAGACCCCAGACCCCCTTTCTTGCTCCCCCAACCCCCCAGTCCCCTCACACCATTCCGGCCTCCCTTCCTGCTGGCCTCCCTGACTCCCTCTGTCTTGGGGCCTTTGATCATGCTGTTTCCCAACCCTCAGCGTCCATCCCATACCTCGATCCCTTTGTCCATGTGCCCTACAGCTCTTTTCTTTTTCTTTCTTTTTTTTTTTTCTGGGACACACCCAGCAATGCTCAGGGGTTCCTCCTGGTTCTGCACTCAGGAATTACTCCTGGTGGTGCTTGGGGGACCATATGGGATCCCGGGGATTGAACCTGGGTCGGCTGCATGCAAGGCAAACGCCCTACCCACTGTGCTATTGCTCCGGTCCTCTTTTTTTTTTCCCTTTAATTAACATCTCTTCCTTTTCTTCCCTTTGTTGTTGCTACTATTACCATGTCTGGGGCTTGCACACTTGTTTTGTGACTAAGGACCCTGCGGACAGAGCAAGTGCTCCACGCCTTTGAGCCTACTGACCCTTGTGGCCTGTTTCGGTGCTGGGGGATGCCAGGGCAGTGTCAGGAATCACTCAGTGGCCTGGGCAGGGCAGGGATGGACCCCGGATCAGTGGATGCAAGACCAGTGCCTGACACCCCCCGCCCACCCTCTCCTGACCCCGGTAACTGGCTCTCTGGGCCTGCTCATCTACTAACCCCCATGAAACGGCCCCCTTGGAGGGGTCTTCCAGGGCCCTGCCCACCCCCAATCCCCACTGGACCCCAGCTCACCAAATCATCTCGCTCTTGCCCTGAATCTCCCCGAACTCGTTGCGGAAGTACTCGATGAGCAGGTTGCTGTTCTTGTCGTGGGCCGAGTTGTAGTTGGTCACCACACGGCTGGGGATGCCCAGACACCGCAGCACTGGAGTGGGGGATGCCACAGAGAGGGGTGTTAGCAGACAGTCAGGGCCCCCAGCCCTGTGCCAGCTGCAGCCTCCACATGCCCATCTGTGTCCCAGGAGCACCCACTAGCTGGGGGCTGGGGTGAGTCTACCTCCTGGCATGGACGATGGCCCCGTGCCGCTGGTGGCCCCTCAGTCCCCCCGACATAAGTGTGAGAGACCCTAAAATGCCTCTCTGACATTACGCCCCCCCCCCCCCCCCCGCCAACCCTACCTGGGTGCCCTGAGGTCCTCAGGATTCAGGCCAGGGTTCCTTGGCCCTGCTGGGTCTAGTACGGCCCAGCTCCTGCCCCTTCGTCCCACCTCTCGGCTGTCCACCGGCCTGTCTCGGCCAGGCAGTCCCTGCCAGCTTCAGATGGTCCCACCCGTTTTTTCTGCTCACAACAGCTCAGGACTCGGCCTCGTTCCCACCTGCCGGGCTGGCCTGCGGGGACCCCCTCGGGGTCTGGGCACTGGGAGGGCATTTTCTGATTTTCTTTGCACAGAGCATAGGGCACAGGCCAGACTGACGCCCGCCCACCTGCCAGAGGGGAGTGAGGGTGAGTGAGAGTCCCCGGAGCCCAGCAGGACGAAGCAGCTGTGTGTCCCAGGGCCAGTGCCTACACCTCTCTGGGCCTGGCCCTGCCCCTCCAGCTCCTGTAAGACCTTTCTGACACAGCACAGAGACCGAGGAGGTGACAGTCAGGGGACAGATGCCTTGTGGTGTAAGGCGCTGGGATGGGGCGAGGGACCCACCTGGATCCCTGGGGGTGAGGGGGTCTGTGGCAGGGCTGGCAGGAGTGGGAGGGGGCGCGGCTCTGGCACCCAGATGGTGATGCACAGGGGTTACTCCTGGCTCTGCTCTTAGGAATTACTCCTGGTGGTGCTCGGGGGACCATAAGGGATGCTGGGAATTGAACCCTGGTCAGCTGGTCCACTGTGCACAAGGCAAACGCCCTACCTGCTGTGCTATTGCTCCATCTCCCCTTGGTCTTGGTTTTATTCGGTTTTGTTTTCTTTGTTTCTGGGCCACACCCCTCGGTACTTAGAAGCTCCTGGCTCTAAGCTCAGGGCCTGCTCCAGGGGGCCCTCAAGACGCTGTGGAGAACCAAACAGGGCCCTCGGCTGTGCAAGCGATCCCCAACCCCAGTCCCGCCCTTATCTTTCAACATAGGCCTTTGATGCCCATTGTCAAGGCCTTTTCAGGGTCAGGAACCCAGGGCCTGGGCAGGACTAGGAGACAGACGGGCACGTGAGAATCCTGAGTGCTCCCCAGAGCACCACAGGGTATGAACTCTGTGAAGGAAAAGTCAAGGTCCAGATGAAGAAATGAAACAAAAAGTCCCTCTTCGAGAGCCCACAGGGCACAGGGCTGTTTCACTTTCCTTCTGCTCAGATTGGGTCTCCCAAGAGCAGGGGACAGCCGAGGATGTGACTCAGCCCCATGCCCGTCACAGGCTGGGACAAGAGCTTCCTCAATGGGCCTGGCCTCGGGCCAGGAGCTGTTTGGGCCCCCAGGAGGCTGGACAGACAGACCACGGGGACCGTCCACCTCTGGCCTGGATCCTGGACCCTGTGCCCTGGGGCCTGGGTGGGGCCTGATCTGTGGGTGTCCCCAAGCCAGGCCTGTCCCCTCTGTGGCATGGGGTTAGGGAGCAGAGGCATGGGGGTCGGGGTCCCTAAGAGTGCCCTGGGGAAGCACCCCCACCCCCACCCCCCCAACCAGCCCCAAGGCCACCCGGAGCCAGGCACGCCTAGTTCCCAACCCAGCTGTGCCGCCCATCCCTGGGGTAGCCCTGGGCACCCCTCTTCCTCCGTGTGCTCCTCCCCCGGGAGCTAATAATAGCGGCTCTCAGGGCGGCTGTGATGAATCAGAAGCCCCAGTGCTGGAGGCCCACGTGCTCCCTGCAAACGTCTGTCTGTGCATTCCCAGCAGCCGACACTCGGGCACCGAGACAATGCGCAGGACGCTTCCCGGGAAACCCTCAGCTGCAGCCACACCTCAGCAGAGCCAGAGACGGGCCAGGGTGACGTCCAACCTCCCTCCTAGGGGCCCTCTACGGGGGTGGAGACTGGGGTTAGACCCGGGCCAGGGGGTCTCACTCTGTGGTCCTCGTGTCCACGCCCACCCACAGGCCAGGGCAGAGCTGGGCTTCAGACCTAGCAGGCCGCCCCATCCCCTCACACACACAGATCCCGCCAACAGTCGCCCCCCGGGCTGAGTGGCTCCCAGCTGAACCTAGAGTCCCCTGACAGCTGTGTGCCTGCGAGGAGGCCGCAGGACCCCCCACCCAGCCTGGGCCGGGGGGGCCGGGGCCCATGAGCGGTCGCTGGGCCCTTCTGGCGGCCCCCCGGCAGGGAGCGCTGGGACTCCGGCTTCAGAGAGAAGGCTCAGGGAAGGTTCAGGAAAGGGGATTTCCACCAGAGAGGGGAAATTCGAAGTCACAGGAAGCAGACAGGCAGGCGGGCAGGGGGCAGAGTCAGTTTAGCCGTGACCCTGGGCCAAACTTCCCGCACAGCCCACTGGCTCTGGGCCTGAGCACTCATCTGAGAGTCCAAAGCAGCCAGTTAGAATCCCTGTGCCTGATCCTAAGAGCATCGGCAGGGATGAGCTGAGCCCGTGTGAGTGCTGGCTCCATCCTCACGACCGTCCCAAGATACAGACGCTACCATTTGGCAATCTGTGCCCATTCAACAGAGCAGTTGAAGGATCAGATGAGTGAAGGGTTCTACCCAAGGATGCACAGCTAGTCACACAAACCTCTAACATGAAGCGGGGGTTTGAACTCAGGCCTCCACGCCAGGTTCTATGTCCTCTTTTTTTCATTGCTGTTTTGTGTGTAGGCCACCCCTGCCAGCAACGAGGGCTGGTCCCGGGTTGGTGCTTGGGAGGCCCAGATGGAGTTGGGGTAGAACCTGAGTGACATCCCAGACCCAGATTCTACGTTCCAGTCCTTAGATGATACGTCCCTGCTCTCATGAAGCAGAACCAGCAACGCTGGAACCATCGAGCATTTTCTGGGCTCCAGTATCTAAGATAGTCCATGGGGTTTTCTTTTTTTTCACCTCTTGTTCCTTTTTTGTTTCTTTTGATTTTGGGTCATACCCAGTGATGCTCACGGGTTACTCCTGGCTCTGCACTCAGGAAGTACTCCTGGGAGTGCTCGGGAGACCAGAGGGGAGGCTGGAGGTTGAACCTGAGCCAGGCATGTGTAAGGCAAATGCTCTACTCGCGGTACTATGGCTCCAGCCCCAGATAATCCATGTTTTAATGGGTCATATTTACTAGGAGCTGCACGGAGCCCAGTTCTGGTTTGGTTCTGACCCGGTTCTGGGCAGACCCTCCCGTCACTCCTTCTTCAGGAAGCAGGCCCTTCCTGTTGTCCTCACTTTGCAGAAGAGGAAACTGAGGTTCAGAAAGAAGTGATGCTCAAGGTCACGGAGACACCCGGGAGGCGTTGGGGCTTGTGAGTTGGGGGTACCTGGCCCCAAAGCCCCAAACCTCAGCCCCGAGCCCATGTTGCCTCCCACTGGGCTTCCCTGGACCTCCACAACAATCCAAGTCAGAGCTATTACTAGGAAAAGGACCAGAGGTGGAGTCCCCCTACTTCCTTTCCGGTGCTTGCCAGCCACTCACCAGTGCAGCCCACAGCGGCAAACACCCAGCACTGGCCATACTTGACCCGCTGGCAGCCGAAGTCCTTCCAGCGCCGCAGGATGTCGACGCTGCCACTCCAGAACATGGGGCTGATGCCGTCCATGTAGTTGTTATCCCAGCGGCCCTCCAGCACGCCCTTGTCATCGTTGCAGTTGACCTGTGGTCCAGGGCACACGAGGGGGTCAGAGCGGAGCTTGGAGGGAAGGCAGCAGGGTGGAAGAAGGGGACAGCACAGTCCTCAGGGTGCAGGAGACAGAGGGAAGGGACGGGAGGGATGAGGGGGGCGGGGGGGGGGGGCGATTCCAGGCAGGGGTGCTGGAGCAGCTGAGTGTACAGAGATGGACCCAGATGGTCACTCCCCAAACTCCCAAGGGCCAGGAAGAAGAATGAAAGGCCCCCGCACGCCCACTGCCCAGCCCCCTGCTCTCTGCTCCCCTACCCCACCACAGCGCTTTCTCCCCCTCCCACATGGCCAGGCACAGGCGGCCCCTTCCTGGAGGGCTTCTCTCCTCTGTGTGTCTGCGGCAAACTGGGGCTCATCCATGAGGGTGCCACCACTTGGTGGGGAGCTCAGGGCTGCCTCAGCTCCTCCAGTACCACATGGCCATGCCCCCCCGCCACCCCTGGCCTCTGCCCAACCACCCTCCTGCTAGGAGGCAAGATGGCAGGCTCTGTCCTGTTCAGACCCTTCGAGCCCCCTGCAGGGCTACTTCTCATGCGCTTTTATTGTTTTTTTTTTTTTTGCTTTTTTTGGGGGGGTCACACCCAGCGATGCTCAGGGGTGACTCCTGGCTCTGAACTTAGGAATTACTCCTGCGGTGCTTGGGGGACCATATGGGATTCTGGGGATGGAACCCAGGTTGGATGTGTGCAAGGCAAATGCCCTACCTGCTGTGCTCTTGCTCCAGCCCCTACTTCTCATGTGCTTAGTCCAGGCCATCCTGGTGCCAGGGACAGTCACGTCACCCTGAGGCCTGGAGGCCATTCCTGGTAGTGGTGCTTGGGAGGGAGTCTGGAGCATCGGGGGATGCAACCCACGCAGGGCGCTGGCTCCTGGCTCCAGTTCAATTTTTAGCTTCTTTTCTGTCTTTGCAGTGCTTGGTCCCAGGGCCTCTCTTGTGCTCTACAGTTGAGCTAGACCACTGGTCCCAAATCTTTTGTATGTTTTATTTTGGAGGGGCAGGTCACACCTGGCGATGCTCAGGGATCACTCCTGGCGGTGCTTGGGGAACCATATGGGATGTCAGGGATCAAACTCGGGTCTGCCACGTGCAAGACAAATGCCCTCACTGCTGTGTGATGGCTCCAACCCCACTTGTCCCAAATCTTGTATTATTTTTTCTTTTGGGGTCACACCCGGCAATGCACAGGGGTTACTCCTGGCTCATGCACTCAGGAATTACTCCTGGCAGTGTTCGGGGGACTATATGGGATGCTGGGAATCGAACTGGGGTCGGCCGCGTGCGAGGCAAACGCCCTACCCGCTGTGCTATCGCTCCAGCCCCTCCAAATCTTGTCTTTCTGAATCGAGTTCTTTTCGCTGAGATGTGCCCGTCTCTGCCCCAAGGCCACTCACCATGGCGCTCACCACCCGGCCCACGTAGACGGGCCTGCTGCGGCGGGAGCAGTCCTTGCTGGCATTCTTCAGGAACTTGGGGTTGACATCCAGGAGTGTCAGACAAGCGTCTAGGACTCCGTCTTCAAACTGTGTCAGAGGAAACCAGAGTAGATGAGAAGCCACTTCCTCTGGGAAGCCGGCCCTGCACCTAGTAGTGGTGGTTTCCTTTTGTTCCCAAGACGCACGAGGGAAGCTTAGGCTGAGTGGAACCCCGAGCCATGCCGCCAGCTCTGCCCGGTCCAGAGTGGGAATGGGGGTGGGCGAGACGCTGGCTGAGGAGCAGAGACACGGGTAGGGGTGGGGGGACCTGGGCTGTGGAAGGGGAGACCCGCAGAATGGAACCCCAGCAAGCCCTTTCCACCATGGCCACCGAGGGCCTGTCCCTGTCCCGTGACCGTCATTTCCTTCGCTGGACACCCGAATGCCCCCACACACCTGCTGCAGCTCCTTCTCTCCACCCCAGCCTCTGCTCCCATTGGCACTCAGGAAGATTCTAGATACCAGTCAGACCTCTTCACTCTTGCCCCCACTGCACCTGGAGTCAAATCCAGTCTTCTCCCTGAGATGTGCAGGAGATGAACCTCCTCTCTGCCTCATCTCTCCCTACTTCCGCCCCCCCCCCACCCCAAACACACTGGCTGCCCCGGGGCCTCTGCATATGCTAGCTCCTTTTCTTGCAAAGAGCTTCCCACCTACTCGCCATGGCTCATGCCCTCTGTTACTCGCAGTGCCTTTCAGATGGTATCTCTGCAGCCTGTCTTCCTTGCCTTCCCCTGAATACCCCCTTGACCTCCGGAGAGACTCTTCCTTCCGCCCGCTGGGCCCCAGCTGTGTCTCCCCACCAGACCTCATTTCTGCTCTCCGTCTGCGGTCAGAACCCGTATGTTTGAGAGTCCTGTGGTCTCAGGCTGATTGCCAGCAGACTGACATTCAGGGTGGCCTTCCCAGCTGGCCACAGATGCTTCTCCCCATCCACCTGTGGGACTTCCTGCTGGAGAAAGTGCTCCCAGCTGCAGCCGCCTCTGAGCACTACTGGGACTGCCACCTCCTGGCCCTTCTTCCTGGGCTCCCCTGCACCCCTCCCTGCATGTCCAGCACCCATGATGTTCTGTCTGGAACCTCTGGCCTCCACGCACAGGGACCCCCTTGCTTCCTTTCAGCTTTGTTGCCCTGGATTGTCACACCCTGGGAACTGGGGGAGCATCATCAAGATAGGACCCAGCAGAAGCCACAGCCCAGAGACTTGGGGGATGAAAGGAAGGACTTGGCTTGGGGACAATCCAGGGCCCTAGAAAAGGAGAACCCATTGTTATTCAAGGAGCACTTTCCTGTGGAGCTTGGGGGCCCTGGACCACTATGCTTGGGGACCATGTGATGCTGGGGATCAGCTCTGGGGTCCCCACATGTGCTCCCACCCTTGAATCATCTTCCCGGCCCCATTCATTTTGGGATCTATGGATTTTTTCTTTTTTTTGGTTTTGGTTTTAGTTTTGATTTTTGGGTCACACCCATTGATACTTAGGAGTTACTCCTGGTTCTGAGCTCAGGAATCATTCCTGGTGGTGCTCAGAAGATCCTATAGAATGCCGGGGATGGAACCCAGGTTGGCTGCCTGCAAGGCAAATAAATGCCTTATCTCTCTGGGTCCCAAGGATATATTTTCTATATAGCAGTCAAACTATCATTTGAATTACATTCCAAGGCAGACTACTGCATTTGCATTTCTGTATGGTATTTTTGTGATCAGCCCACTATTCAGATGAGAAAACTGAGGGTCCCACGACAGGATCCCCTACATCTGAACACAGACCCTGTTCTCCGAGTTTCCAGGTGGACCCCGCCCTAGGAGGCTCCGTTTACTAACAAAACAAACAAACAAACAAGCAAACACTGTCCTCCCATTGTTCATCGATTTGCTTGAGTGGGCCCAGTAATGTCTCCATTATGAGACTCCTTGTTACTGTGTTTGGCATATCGAATACTCTTGGTAGCTTGCCAGGCTGTCTGAGAGGGGCGGAGGAATCGAACCTGGCTCGGCTGGGCTGGCTGCGCGCAAGGCAAACACCCTACCGCTGTGCTATCACTCCAGCCCACTAACAAACTGGGAGGTTGAGATGGGTGTGGTGGTTCAGACGCCGTTATTTTTCTAATCCTGTTCTGAGGACTATTGATGGGGAAGGCAGGATGGGAGAGAGAATAAGCCTGGGTTTGTAGGAACAACCCAGGCAGGCCTGCTGGAGGATAAGTGTCCCCAGGGGACAGGACGATGAACCAGGTGTGGAGACGAGCCCAGCCCAGCCCTGATGTCCAGTCTTGGCTGATCCACATGTTTGTGAGAATCAGACAGAGGCTGGGCAAGTCCCTCGGCTTTGGGCTTGTCCCTGAGGGAGCACGAGCCAGCCAAGATCAGATCAAGGTCTGTGGGCTGAAGAAGCCAAAGACAGATGCTCCGGGCCCACCTAGACCCACTGCATCCGAAATTAGGGGGTCTGGGCCCCCAAGCTGGGCTTGAGCATGGTGCTTCCACAGATATTCTGTAGTCTATATGCAGAGTCTCCTGCTAGCCAGGGCCCCTTGGAGTGGGGGCAGGTTGAGTTTCCCTCCCTGCCCCGAGTAGAGCTCCGGTAGCCAAAGACCTCCAGAACCAGCCACAACCATGCTGAGACTACTCTCCACACGAATGAAGGTACCAGCAGAGAAACAAAGGCATGCGGGTCCCAGAGCAGAGATCTCCAACCCTGCTGGGATCGGGGCTGAGCATCCTCCACCCAGATCCTCCATCTTCCAGTAGGCGGGGGTCACACCTACCAACTGACCCCCAGCGCCGTGTAATCCCATCAATGGCCAAGATCCAGAGACTATAAAATCCAGCTCCCAGAAGTGACATCTTATTATCTCATTTTTACTTTGGACAACCTGGCAGGTTACCGAATGTAACCTGCCCAAACGGCAGAGTCTGGCAAACTCCCCATGGCATACCCTATCTGCCAAATACCAGTAACGATCATGGGTCTCATTCTTCTAACCCTGAAAAAGCCTGGGCTGGAGCGATAGCACAGCGGGTAGGGCGTTTGCCTTACAAGCGGCCAACATGGCCGACCCGAGTTCGATTCCTCCGCCCCTCTCGGAGAGCCCGGCAAGCTACCGAGAGTATCTCGCCCGCACGGCAGAGCCTGGCAAGCTCCCCGTGACGTATTCGATATGCCAGACACAGTAACAACAAAGTCTCCAATGGAGACGTTACTGGGCCCGCTCGAGCAAATCGACGATCAACGGGAGGGCCTTTACCTTACCTTTTATGGCATTTTTTAAAATCTCAGGGCTAGGACGAAGGAGATGTTACTGGTGCCTGCTCGAGGCAATCGACCAACAACAGGATGATCGTGATCGTGATTGCGATCGATATGCAGTCCAGTAGGACCGCTAGTCTGGATAACCGCCTAGGCTCATGACAAGGGTCTGCCAACTAATTGGCCAGTCCTGATTTATTTTCCAATCATTCTGTTTGCCAATTCTTCAAGTCTTGTAGGAATAAGCAATAGAAAGTAAATTTGCTATGTGCCAAAGGGGGGCAGGCTGGGATCGGGAGGGAAACTGGGTATATTGGTGGAGGGAAGGTCCCACCGGTGGTGTTGGAACACTCAACGCTTGAATCAACTGTATAATGAACAACTTTGTAAAGCACGGTGTTATTTTTTTTTAAATAAAAATCAGTTAAAAATCAAAAACTGGGGCTGGAGCAATAGCACAGTGGGTAGGGCGTTTGCCTTGCACGCGGCCGACCCAGGTTCGATTCCCAGCATCCCATATGTTCCCCCAAGCACTGCCAGGAGTGATTCCTGAATGCATGAACCAGGAATAACTCCCGTGCATCGCTGGGTGTGACCCAGAAAAGCCAAAAATAAATAAATAAATAAATAAATAAATAAATAAACCAAATAAAACAAGTATTTCTGCCAAGCAATCACTGCATACTGGTTTGAAATATGGCCTTGAACACTCCCTTTTCTGCCTGGGAGTAAATTCCCACCAGCTCCACCACTCCCCAGAGGACCCCTCATTCTTCCCCTGCCGTGGGCCCAGGCTGCTTGCTGTTCCCTGGGGGAGAGGGGGGAGGGAACCCTCTGCTGTGTGACTCAGGGCCGGGCCTGGCACCTCTGAATATCCAGCAGGAATGCCCGCTATCTCTGGCTGGGGCGGGGCCAGGGCCCAGCTCTGCCCGCCCCGCGGGGTGTCCTACCTGCCCGAAGTTCCAGGGGACGCTATTGATGAACTTGGCCGAGCCCTGGTAGATGAAGCCCTGCTGCATGAGCACGTACTCCCGCCGCTCCTCCTCCGACTCCAGGTACACAGCGTCCGCTGCGGGTGCAAGGACGGGGCTCAGCACTGTGTCTCGTGGCGCCCCAGGTTCCCGCTCACCGGGCCCTGGGGCTGCCCACTTCCTGGGCCCGGGAGCCCTTCTATCTAGTCATCAGGAAAGGCTAATCTGAGTGAGTAAGCCCAGGTCAGTGAGATAAGGGCTGTGGCACCGGCACTGGCCGCGGGCCAGGATCTGTGACAAATTATGGCATCTGAGGACCTGTTTCCTTCCCACCACACCCTATGTGGACCTGGCCTCTCAAACTCCCATTTTACAGAAGGGAAAACTAAGGCTCCTATTTTCAAGGGCCAGGCAGCAGAGGCATTAGGTGTTTGCCTTGCATGAGACCGACCTGGGTTTAATTTCTGGTACCCAAGTTCCCCTGAGCGCCACTGGGAGCAACTCCTGAGCACAGAGCTGGGAGTAGCGCCAGAGTACCACTGGGTGTGGTTCAAGTCTCTCCCAACAATAAATAAATAAAACTGCTTGCCCTGTTCTATTTCCGGTGCCCCGCATTGTGAGAGTACAGGGGTAGGGCTCTCACCCTGCACGCAGATGACCTGGACTTGATCCCTGGGGGACCCGATATGGTTTCCTGATCCTGCCAGAAGTGATCCCTGAGCACAGAGCCAGGAGTAAGCTCTGAGCACTGCTGAGTGTAGCTCCAATTTTTTTTTTTACATAAAAAGAGAATGAAAATATTTCAGATGGGGAAATAGATAAGAAACAGAGGAGTACTGGGCCTGGAGTCACTCGCAGTTCTGCTGGGCTGGCCACTTCCCCCGTGGTGCTCTATTCCCACACTGCTGAAGTCTGCGCAGGATACGTTTAGGCTCAGAGACCGGCTGGCCAGTGGAAGGAGCACGAGGGGCTGGGGCCCTGCTGAGCTGCCCCTGAGCACTGTCTGGACCATGTCCCAGCTGCAGGGCTGCTCGGGACAGTGGAGGACAGAGAAGGGGGTGGACCCCGGCAGCAGGAGCCTGCGGTCAGTCTGCTCTCACCCGCCCCACTTCACAGACGAAGAAACTGAGGCTGGGGAGTGAACCCAGAGCTGACTTTAGTGGACCCCAGACTATAAAAAAAAATCTATTAAAAAATAATAATGAAGGAAGAAAGAAGGTCGACTTGATAGCCCCACTGAGATAACGATGACACATTAATGTATTTTTAAGAAGCTGCCCAACAGCCAGGAGGCACAGAGAGGGCGCTTGACCTCGGTCCCATTCTGGCACCATATGGTCCCCCACATTACCAGGTGCAGCCCTGAAGGCTCCCGAGTATTGCTGAGGGGGCCTGGGTACCCCCGCCACCGCAGGACCTGAGTGCCTTTGCACTGGACACCAGACTGCAGAGAATCACAGGGAGGGAGGGAGAAAGGAAGGAAGGAAGGAAGGGAGGGAGGGAGGGAGGGAGGGAGGGAGGGAGGGAAGGAGGGAGGGAGGGAGACAGGGGGAGAGAAAAGAAGAAAAGGAAAGGAGAGAAGGAAGGAAGGAAGGGAAGGAAGAAAGGGAGGGAGGAGAAGGAAGGGAGGAAGGAATGGAGGAAGGGAGGAAAGAAGGAAGGAAGGAAGGAAGGAAGGAAGGAAGGAAGGAAGGAAGGAAATAGTCTGATCCAAATGTTCCCTTTTCCTCCTGCTCCTGGTTTGGGGTTCCCCAGCTGCCGTGCAGACCCAGGAAACTGCCCCATGCTAGCAGGCTCCAGCTCCCGTCCTTTGAGTATCTCCCCGGCCCTTTCCTTCCAAGTTTAAGAGAAATAAAACCATTTCCTGGGTGGGCACCGGGTGCTGTGCCCAGTAATCAGGCCACCCACCGGCAGCGCCCAGATGCCTCCGCTTGTTCTGTAGAGGGGAAGCCAGTGTGCAGAGGACGGGGACGGGCTCTGAGGCAGTGCAAGGCAATAATTAGCCGTCAGATAAACAAACAAGGCAGCAGTGAATCAGCGTCGGGTGGAGAGGAGGAGAGAGAAAGCCCACGGAAGGCCCAGGGCGTTGGGCGGTAGGAAGGAGCGTGGCGCTCGTCACTGGGTCCCAGGAAGGCCCTGCGCAGGGCTCAGCCTGGTTGGGGGGGGGGGGGGGTGGAGTCAGGGCCTCCCCTAGAACCAGCTCTGTGTGTGGTTCCCAAATCCTGTCCTTGTCTGAGCTCGGGGACATGGGCTTGTGCCACAGGCTGACCCATGCCCAGTGTTCCCCTGGGGGGCAGCACTATTCTCACCCAGTGTCCCCCTACCCACAACCCCCAGGAAGTCCAGCTTCCTGCTCCCCATGACCCCCGCCTGCTCGGGCTGCAGGGCACCCGTCACCCTGCTGTTGGCTGACCCTCCAGGGACTTGCCCCAGAAGTGCGCTCCAGTGCTCTGAACTCTGAAACCCTGGGAGGCAGTCAGGTGGAGGCATTGAGGCAGGGCTGCCCAGCGGGACTGGGCTCGCTGCGGGTGTGGGAGACGAGAGGTTGTGTGGTGCCAGCCGTGAGCGCCTCTGTTCCCAGAAGCCACTGAATGGGGCACAGAGCCCCTGAGTCAGGGAGGGCGTGCGTTTCAACACAGCGTGCTGACTTCAGGCCAGGGTGGGGGCTGAGTGAAGGAAACTTCCAGAAAGATAGGACGCAGGGACTCCCTCCCGGCCCTTGCTCTGAAGCTCAAAGCCTGGAGGCTGACGGGGCTCCTGGTCATGCGGTGCTCGGGGGACGGGAGGGAGCCTGGGGCTCCTTCATGCAACATCCATGCTCAGCCCTTCAGCATCTCCCCCTTTCAAGTTTAAGAGCAGCCCCTAAGATGACCAGGCCACCTACACGTGCCCCAGTTCTGAGGCCAGTCAGCCCCGAGCCTCCTAAGGGGGATGCAAGAAGGGTGCTCTTTCTCTGGGGCACTGCAACCTTTTCTGGAGAGGAGATTCTCTCGGCTTACTCTTGCAGTTAGAGATTAAATGCTGGGCTGGAGCGATAGCACAGCAGGTAGGGTGTTTGACTTGCATGCAGCCAACCCGGGTTCGATTCCCAGCATCCCATAGGGTCCCCTGGGCACTGCCGGGAGTAATTCCTAAGTGCATGAGCCAGGAGTAACCTTTGTGCGCTGCCAGATATGACCCAAAAAGCAAATACAAATAAATAATAATAATAATGGGGGCCAGAGAGACAGAACAGCAGGGAGGGTTTTAGCCATGCGTGTAGCCGACCCAGGTTCAGCCCCCAACACCCCAGATGGTCTCCTGAGTCCTGCCAGGAGTGATTCCCAAGTGCAGAGCTGGGAGGAACCTCTGAGCACCGCTGGGTGTGCCTCCAAATAATAAATGAGCAAATAAATAAAAGCCAAACTTAGGAAAAGAGAAAATAAACAACTCTTTTTGCTCAAACATGCTGTGGGACTCTCCCAAGCGGAGAAAAGCCTCAAGCAGTGAGTGGCCCCGGGCAGTTGAGTGACTCCGGAGGAGTAGGTGCTGGTCAGCTGAAATTTCTGCTCCTGAGGGAACACCCAGAGTGTCTAAGGAGGCACTTAAGTGACCCACTTTCCAGGCTGGCCCACCCCTTGGCACCCCCTCGGGTCCATCCGGCGAGATTTGTTTCTTTGATCTGATTTTTGGCTTTGGGCTGTACCCTGCTCCTAGCTCTGTGCTCAGGTGTCAGTCCTGGAGACTCGTCCAGCGCTAGGGGCTGCCCCCCGGCCTCTGCAGGTCAAGCCTGCACACAGCCTCTGAGTCACCTCTGAGTCGCCTGGGGAGATCTATTTATTTATTTTGGCCACAGCCAGTGATGCTCAGGGGTCACTCCTGGCTCTGCACTCAGGAATTACTCCTGGTGGTGCTTGGGGGACCCTATGGGATGCTGGGAATCGAACCCGAGTCAGCTGCATGCCAGGCAAATGCCCTCCCCACTGGACTATCACTCCGGCCCCAATCTGGGGAGATTTTTAAACGGAACCAGGGCTGGAAGTACAGCTAAAGAGGTGGAACACACACCTGGCATGTGGGGCCTGGTCAGTGGAACCCAGCAGCGCATGGTCAGTCTAGCACTGCCCAGCGGGAAAGGCCCTGGGGACACCCAGCACCGTTGCACCAGGTCTGAGCACTGAACCGGGAGAGCCAAATCATCAACAAACACCACACTACATCACCCCCAGCACCACCACGTGTGACCCCTTCTACACACAATGCAAAGCAGGGACCTGACCCTGGTGTCAGTTGGACACTGGGTGCCGGAGTGGGCACCTCCTGAGCCCAGCGCCTCTGTGCCCAGTTCCTGGGGCCATGGGGGCGGGAACGGGCTGACCTCTGGCAGTGGGTGCCAGTTCTTGGAGCTGTGTGATGTTGGCCGGGCCGGGCCAGGCCAGGCTGGCCTCTGAGGTGCTGAGTCTACGGAAGGGCACAAACAAGACCCTCAGAGTTTCGAGCAGTTTCGAGGCAGCATCCTGGGGCCCTCCCTGCCCCCCTCCCCCTCTCCCACCACCCCCCTGCTCCTCACACTCACCTGGACACCAGGCGTTGAAGAGCAGGACGAAGTGACCCAGCATGAAGCTTGAGCCCTGGTAGCCGGTGGAGGTGTCCAGGGTCATGTTGTACAGGCCCACGGGGGCATTGGCCGGGCTGCTGACTCGTAACCACAGGACTCCCTCCTGCTGGTCCACCACCGTGGCCGCCCAGGTCCCCTGCTCCTCGACTTCGGACAAGGGGAAGCGGGCCTGGGTGCAGGCCTCCTGGCTGGGCACCGGGCCTGCGGAGGAGAGAGCGGGGCTGGAGTCAGGACGGGGCTGGGCACGTGCCAGGGGCGTGGGTGGGGGTGCCCCGGGCTGGGTACTTCACCCCTCACTACACGGGGACTCGGATAATGAGCTTCAGCTTCCTCCGCCGGGCAGCGGGGAGCAGAGCAGGGCTGCCCCAGAGCCCCCTTGCTGCTATCCTGGTGGTCCCTAGGAGCCGATGTGCCCTCTCCCCCCCCACACACACTCTTTCTGCAGTACACCTCTACTTTCCTCAGGTCATGGGATTTCCTCGCAGACTCAGGTAAGCAACAGAAAATAAATTCATTGGGGCCAGAGCAATAGCACAGCGGGTAGGGTGTTTGCCTTTCACATGGCTGACCCGGGTTCGATTCCCAGCATCCCATAGGGTCCCCCGAGCACCACCAGGAGTAATTCCTGAGTGCAGAGCCATGAGTATCGCTGGGTGTGACCCCCCCCCCAAAAAAGAAAAGAAATTTATTAAATGCCGACTAAGGGGACAGAACAGGGTAGGAGGGACCCGGGGACACCGGGGCCCTGACTGATGTTGGAACACTATGCCTGAAACAACTCTGTGAAGATGTCTTAAGGACAAGGACAAAAGGAAGCAGCTCAGAGACGGGGTCTCCCGAGGTGGTCCCAGGACTCTGAGGCAGTGCGCGCCTCATTTCTGACGGCCCCTGTGTGGCGTGGGGCTGTGGGATGCAGGGGGGAGGGGTGCGGCAGTCTCAGGTGAGGGGAGGGTGTGCACCGCCCCGGCAGTGGCTCTGAGTCACTGCTGTGGACTGGCTGGTTGCCCTCTCTGGACACGGCGTGCAAAGGAGAAACAGAACCTTCTCACTGGGTTGGACGTCTGCCCAGGACGGTTTATTTTTATTCTTCCCTCTTCTCCCCACAGTCCTGCCCACCCACTGCTGACACAGGGGGGGCTTGATTCCGAGGGGCCCGCCCAACGCCCACCCCCTCCTCCCCACCACCAGCCCCACCCACGTCCAGCCCAAATATAACCATGAACTAACAGGCATGACACAGGCCTCCCATGTGGGTGCCAGGAACCAGCTGTCAGCCTTCGATGTACCTGATTTATAGAGCTGGCCTTTTCGGAGACACTCAGGCAGCACTGGGACCTGAGGACCAGCCTGGTCTCCCACTTCCCACACCCTTCGGCCCATCCTGGCCCTGAAAGCTGTGTGACCTGAGCTATAAAGCCTCAGGCCTCTCTGATCTGCAGTTTTCTCATCAAAGAAGAGAATTGTCTTTGATTCTGCGCCCGAGAGGGTCTGATTCCCACCGGGAAATAAACTCTGGGGTTTTAGGAGAGGTGGTTGGCATCTCCGTGCCTCGGTTTCTCCATCTGTAAAAATGAAGCCAATTGCAATAGAACCTTCTAGGCCGTGATGACGAAAGGCATACGTCCCCAGGCCAGCACACGTCTGACTCATGGTTTGCTTCAATAAACAAACGTCTTGTTTATCTGCCACAGAGCCCACCTAGCACGTCTGAGAGAGTTCCTGAGAGGCAAAGAGCTTCCAGCTGTGACCAGTGAGTGTGCAGTGAAGTGAATTATCCTCGTCAGAAAGAATCTTCAAAAAGTATCTTCAAAGGGAATCATTAAAAATCAGGGGCTGGAGCGATGGTTAAGCAGATAGGGCATTTGCCTTGCACACGGCTGACTTGGGTTCGATTCCCAGCATTCCAAGGGTTCCCTGAGCACCACCAGGAATAATTCCTAAGTGCAGGGCCAGCAGTAAGTCCTGAGGTCCACCAGATTTGGAGCCCCCAAACAAAAACAAGATAAAGAATCACGAAAGGGCTGGAGCACAGCGGGTTGGGCATTTGCCTTGCACATGGCCAACCCGGGTTCAATTCCCAGCATACCATATGGTCCCCAGAGCACCACCAGGAGTAAATCCTGAGTGCATGAGCCAGGAGTAACCCCTGTGCATCACCGGGAGTGATCCCCCCTCAAAAAATGAATCACTAAAAATCAAAGTTTCAGGGCCCAGAGATAGCTGAGGGTCGGGGGGTGGGGTGGGCGGGGTCGGGGAAGCACATGCCTCTTGTGCCTGAGTTCTAGCCTGGGCACTGCATGGTCCCCCAAACACCACCTGGTGGTCTACACACACATCAGTGCTTCACCACAGAGTGCCCGAGGGTCCCCAGAGACCCCTGGGGAGACCCTTATTTTAAAATTTTAAAAACACATACACACACACACACACACACAGGAATAATACAAGTAACAAAAGCTCAGTCCCAAAACTAGATTTTGAGAATGGGAGTAGAAATCATTTTCCAGAGTGGAAAGTGAGGCTGAGGGGGTGGGATGCTTTGGGGTCGCAGATGTCCCCATGAGCCAGGACTGTCTTGCCCCGAGGGATGACACCCCCTTCCATTCCCAGAAATGTGCCTGCCGGGACACCCCCTTCCATTCCCAGAAATGTGCCTGCCAGGATGACCCGTTATCAGTCTCCCTGGTCAAGCCTTCCAGCCAGTCACCCGGCCACACCCCAGGGCAGGTCAGGAATGTTTCCCAACATACACACGTCCACCTTGACACCTGCTGTCCTCCTCAGCCCGTGGGTGTGGCTAGTTGAGGCCGGGCTGTGCTGTGGGCCCTGGGACTGCTCACGTAAACTCCCTTTGAAAACTCCTGCACGTGGTGCCACTTGGGACTTTTGGGGGGGGGGCGGGCAATACCACGGCCACTCTGGGCAGGGCTGACGCTGGACACCGGGGCAGGCTTGGCCGCTGTCCAAGACCATGCAACAGGGGCGGGGTGGGTGAGACAGGAAGCTTCCAGAGAAAAGCCATCTATCCGCTGGGGAAGTGTCTTTCCCTCCTGAGCCTGACCCCCTTCCCATCCCGGAACCCCCAGAGCCTTCTCCTGGAACTGGGGTGCTGTTTGTCTCCTGTGCTGCTAACACAGTGGCCACCCTAACATAGCTGGGGGCAGTTTGGGATGGTGGGGGCATAGATGAGGCCAGGCCACGCCCCCTATTCTCTGACCGACCTGATCTGTCCCTGTTTTCTCTCTCTCTGGACCTCAGTTTCCCCGAAAAGGTGGGTGAGGTGGAGCAAGACTGTCCGTAGAAAGGAGCAGGGCGGCCGGGCCAACCCAAGGCTGACCCTGCCCTGAGCCCAGCTGGGGACGGAGAAGCTGGACTTCCTCCCATTGTCTCTCGGGCCTCCCCACCGGTCCTGCCCTGCCCGGGAGTGACTCAGTGTCCCCAGAGTGCTGGGGCCCTGGAGGCGGCCTGACCCAGGGGCTGGGGAGTGAGCAGGGCAGAGGCCAGAGAGACCCTGGCTTCAGGGCGGAGCAGGCAGGCTGGTCTGAGGGGGACGGAAGAAGCTGAGAGCCAAAGAGCCGGGGCTTGGGGCCGGCCCAGGAGGTCAGGGCTTGAATCCCCTCTCGTCCTGGACTTACAGGGGCCACACAAGCACCTGGACCTTTCTGAGCCTCTGTGTTCCCACCCGTACAATGGGCCACAATGTGCTTCCTGGCTGGGAGGTCTCGGGGCGCCCCGAGTGGGAAGTGTCCCTGAGCTGGTGCGTCCCAGCTGTGCCCTGTGCGGGGGCGGGGGGGAAACTGAGACCTGAGGACCGGGACTTTTTTTGGGAGGTGGGAAGGTTTCCACAATCTGGGGTTGCGGGGGTGGGAGGGAGGGAGGGTGCCCTGGTGAGCATGTCCCGGCCAGGAGGGGCGGGCGGGAGGAAAGGGTTGGGGGGATATCCTGCCTGCGGGCCCTGATAAGCCTTATCAGAGTGCGTCCAGGTAACTGGGCCCCAGCCAGGCACACCACGTCCAGCTCTCGCACCCTTTCTGCCCCAAAACCTCAACTAGGCCTTGCCCACCTCTAGGTGGCCCCTTGCTGGCTTGAGGGAGGGACTCCCAGCACAAATCAAACCAACCCGTTGTCACTTGCCTAGGAACTCGGAGCAAAGGGGTTCAGCACTGGGCATCTGGGGCGAGGAGTCTCGTGTCCCCTGGAGCAGGGCCAGCCACAGTCCTGAGGTCTCCAGGACACTCCCTGCAGGCCCTTGATTAATGCTCCACTGGATGAAACTTGGGCTCAGAGAGGCCAAGCCACTTGCTGGGATCACACAGCAGGGAGGTGACCCAGTTCCAACCAGAACGCAAGTCTGTCTGTGCAGCTCCCAAGCCCCAGGGTTGGAGAAGGAACTGTGGACAGGGTGGGCTCTGGCCAGCAGCAGACCAGGTTCGGGCTGAGCCCAGAGGCCGGGTGGGTGTGCGTGGGGGTGAACTGGACAGAGTTCTGTTGACCGCACGGCAGGGAGGACGCTCACCCGCACCTAGTGTCCATGTCCTAGACCAGACTGGGGGTCCTAGGGCGGCACCTCCACTCTCTGGGCATGCAGGGCGGACAGTGGGGGGGGGCATGGGGCATCCTCACCTGTGGTCACAGTGAAGGTGAGTGTGTCCACGCTGGCCTCGTAGCCCCGGCCCTCGAAGTACAGCGTCAGCCAGAAGGACTGCCCGCGCCGCACCACCAGCCTGTCCCGGCACAGGTCAGCCGTGTGGTGGTCTCGGCCGTTGGCCTCCAGCTCCAGCTCACACCGCTCCAGCACCAGCTCTGTGGAGACAGGGGGGCCACGTGAGCCCAGCACGCGGCATGGGCGCAGCCCCGGAGCCAGCCTGGCCCTGCCCTCAGCTAGGGCAAGCCTCCTCCTCCTCCATGTCCTCCTTTCCTCCTCCTTCTCCTCCTCCTCCTCCTCCTCCTCTTTCTCCTTCATGTCCTCCTCCTCCTCCTCCTCTTTCTCCTCCTCCTCCTCTTCTACCTCCTCCTCCTCCTTCTCCTCTTCTCCTCCTCTTCCTCCTCCTCCACCTCCTCCTTCTTCACCTCCTCCTCCTCCACATCTTCCTCCTCCTCCTTCTCCTCCTTTCCTCCACATCTTCCTCTCCTCCTCTTCCTCCTCCTCCTCCTCTTCTATCTCCTTCTCTTCCTTCTCCTCCTCCTCCTCCTCCTCCTCCTCCTCCTCTTCTACCTCCTCCTCCCTCTTCTCCTCTTCTCCTCCTCTTCCTCCTCCTCCACCACCTCCTCCTCTTCCTCCTTCACGTTCTTTTTCTCAATGTCCTCCTCCTTCACATCCTCTTCCACGTCCTCCTCCTCCTTCTCCTCCTCCTCCTCCTCTTCTATCTCCTTCTCTTCCTTCTCTTCCTTCTCCTCCTCCTCCACTTCCTCCTTCTTCACCTCCTCCTCCTTCACATCTTCCTCCTCCTCCTTCTCCTCCTTTCCTCCACATCTTCCTCTCCTTCTCCTCCTCCTCCTCCTCCTTCTTCTTTGTTTTTGGGGTTACACCCAGCAGCGCTTAGGGACTTGGGGGTCACTCCCAGTGGTGCAGGGACATGTGGGGCCGGGACTCAAACCCGGGGTTCCCAAATGCAAGTCTTGGCTCCTGCCCTGTGAGCCCTCTCTCAGGATCTACGTCTCCCTAAAGGTTAATGCCCGGGTTGTTTCCTGGCGGTCGCTCGGCCGTGTGGCATCAGGCAGCTCGGCTTCAGTGAACCTCCGTTTCCCCTCCGAGCAGAGGGAAACAGCGGGACTCACCTCCCGGGAATAGTGGTGGGAATCTCAGGACAGTGACCGGCTCAGTATAAAAACTTGGATAAGGGCTCCCCAAACAGGGAGCTAGTAAGTCATCCTGGAAGGTTAGTGTGTCATCCTGGAAGGTTCTTTGGGTTTTGGAAACAGAGGCAGAGTCTGGAAGAGAGTTCAAGTCCCCCCGCATGCATGAGTTCAATCCCTGGCCCCTCTGGCCCTGCCCAGCACTGCGGGTGGGGTCCCAGGGACCTCACTGGGCATCCCTAGGCCCACACTGCTGCCTTGGAGCACCATGGGCCCGAGCACCACTTCCCAGCTCGGCGGGCTGCGGCCTCTGAACACCGAACACGGGGTATTTGGCACACGCTAATCACACCTGCTCGCCTTTTAGCTTTGATTTTCAATTTACAGGGCCAGGACTGCCAGAGGCTTCTCGGTGAATGAGCTCAACCCCCGCTGCCCGGCAGTGCCGCGCCCACAGGTGGCACAGAGAATGGAGGAAAACGATAAACGCAGAACCAGGATGTGATCGATGAGATCCACACCCGGGAAAGAGACAGCCAAGGATCCACTTTCTTTCAACATGGAAAGTATTATTTGTATTATCTTTCTGTGCTAACATAGTTTGGAGTCTACGCGGGATAGATAAGGCCTACTTATGCAACTTTCCCCCTTTTATACATAAACGTTATGCAAACACTGTGGTTTACAAAGTGGTTCACGATGGTTTGTTTAGATATTCAATATTCCAACACCAATTCCTCCATGGTCACCTTCCCTCCACCATTGTCTCCCATTTTCCCACCCACCTCTCAAGACTGCCCCCATAATTTATTTTATTTTGCCCACAAAAATTTATTTTATATTGCTTGTTATCAATAATTTGATAACAGAATGATTAAAAAAATTTTCTAAAAAAAAAGTAAATTATTGTATCTCACCAAGGAGACATTAAGTCCTTGTGTGGGGGATTACTAAGATGTCGTTTAAGGCTCAGCCTTCTGTATTCATGTTTTGTTAGTGAGAATGGTCGCTTTCTACATTACATCCCATCCTATCTGGTGTGCTAAGCCAGTAGTAACTGGTCTATCAGTGTTGTAGAGTGTGGAGATGTCCCAGGAAATCCAGAATATTTAGCTGGGTGATACAATTGGAGTTAAGTTTTTAACTGGGCAGCGGTTTAGAGTGTTTAACATGAAAAGAGAGAAAAATGGAAGGAAAGAGTGAAGGGAGAACCTATTGATTAAAAACGAAATAAAAGCCATTCTAAGTTATCTGAATTTTAATCTGTCACTGTCCTCCTATTGTTCATCGATTTTCTCGAGCAGGCCCAGTAACGTCTCCATCAAGAGACTTTGTTGTTACTGTGTTTGGCATATCGAATACATCACGGGTAGCTTGCCAGGCTCTGCCATGCGGGTGAGATACTCTCGGTAGCTTGCCAGGCTCTCCGAGAGGGGCGGAGGAATCGAACTCGGGTCGGTCATGTTGGCTGCGTGCAAGGCAAATGCCCTACCCGCTGTGCTATTGCTCCAGCCCCTGAATTTTAATATTTTATATAAAAAAGTAAAATAGTTTTATTGGGGCCAGAGAGATAGTTCAGTGGATAAGATGCTCGTCCCTTGCAGGGGACCAGTCCTGGTTCAATTCTGGAACCATGTATGATCTCAAGCAATGCCAGGAGGAAGCCTCAAGCACTGGCATGTGTGGTAAAAAAAAAAAAAAGAAAAAACACTTATTAAAGGAATATGAAGGGAGAGAGGGAGGAGAGAGACAAAGAGAGACACACAGAGAAAGACAGGGAGACAGTGAGAAACAAAGACCAAGGTGTTCAAAAGAGAACACGGGCTTCTCCAGAGGGGAAGTTGCCAAGTACACACATCAGCTGGAGATGCAGGGGAATCCCTGTGTGAGAACACACAGCAAGAAGCTATTTTGAAACATCTATTAATGACTGGAGCAATAGGACAGAGGGCCGGGAGCTTGCTTTGCACGCGGCTGAGTTGGATTCGATCCCCGGTACCACATATGGTCCCTCAAGCCCACCAGGAGTGACCCCTGAGCACAGAGCTAGCAGAGAAGCATCAGGACCAAACTGAAGGGAAACAAACCACTTATCACACGCACAAGACGACAGGAAAACAACTCTGAGAGCATCACGATGAATTAAAGAATTTTGGTTAATCTGTGTCTAAAAAGGAGAGTTTGGGGTGGTTGAGCTCTAAAACCATGGTTGGATGATCGTGCGGTGCTGAGGGGGTCAAACTTGGGGACTCTGCCAGGCAGGTCTACATTCCAGCGCTTTGAGTTATTTCTCTGGCCCTCAGGAGACAGTTCTTTTCCTTTGAAATATTTGCCAATGATGTAATGAAATATCTGGGATTTGCTCCCAACCTTTAGGGGGCAGCTGAAGGAAGCAGGAGGCTGTGGGCTGGTGGTGATTAGAATTGCATGATAGGGGGCTGGAGCGATAGCACAGCGGGAAGGGCGTCTGCCTTGCACGCGGCCGACCTGAGTTTGATTCCCAGCATCCCATATGGGCCCCTGAGCACTGCCAGGAGTAATTCCTGAGTGCATGAGCCAGGAGTAACCCCCGAGCATTGCCGGGTGTGACCCAAAAAAGCGAAAAAGAAGAACTGCGTGATGGGAACACAGATAAACTATTCACTCCACTCAGGCACCTTCACTATTCTCCATAATAAGAGGGTCTGAGTTTTTACATATTGGGGGAGGGGGTGGTACTTGGGTCACACGGGTACTTCTCAGGGCTTCTCCCTGGATCTGTGCTCAGGAATCACTCCTGGCAGTGCTCAGGGATCACATGTGGGGCTGGAGATGGAGCTGGGGTCACCACGTGTGAGGCAAGTACCTCAACCCCTGAACTCTCTCCAAGGACCTGTCATAAGAGGTTGGAACGACGGGGCTTAAGGGTTGGTGCATCTGCGTTTGCTGCTGTGTGATGCTGGACAGTTATGTCTCACTCTGTGCACTTCCCTTCCCGAAGCCTCCAAGGGCAACTGTGAGGTTCAGACCTCACTGGAGAGGAGGCTGGAGACACTCTTCCCTCCGGACTGCCCCAGGCAGAGCTTGGTTTGTGCAAATCCTCCCTGCTGCTGTCAAAGGAGCTGAAGACCTCGGCGGGGAGAGGGGCTGGTCACCCAGCCTGGTGCCAGAGGGAAGCACAGCTCTTGGCAAACTCGGCAGATTCATGCAGCTAAGGTCAGGACAGGTGAGAGGGTAGGGTGCGAGAGTCAGTGGGCAGAGCAGGGGGACGGAACCTGCAGTGTCTACGGTCCAACTGACGCCTGGGCTGGGGACTTGACCCTCTGCAGAAGGGTCCTTTGATCCTGTGCTCCAGCTGAACACAAACAAGGGCCAGGACTGCCAGAGGCTTCTCGGTGAATGAGCTCAACCCCCGCTGCCCGGCAGTGCCGCGCCCACAGGTGGCACCTCTTTGGCTTGGCAGTGGGGCCTGGCCAAGGGGGCTTTGGGATTTGAATCCAGGCTTGTAGTTTCCTGGGGGAGGCTGGGGTGGGGGGAATACCCGGAGGGGTTTCTCCTCCCACCCCTGTGTCTGGGAGGGTTAATTCTGGTGGTGCTTGGGGGGGCGTATGGGGGCGACATTCCACCACAAGGCGTGGGTCAGGCCCTTGGGGTGCTTTCCCGGGCCCTGGGCTGTGCTCCTGGGGCCTCTGCTATAAGCACCCCCTCACAGCACAGCCCTGCGTTCTCACCCCACTTTCTACCCACACTCCACCCACCCTGCACCGTGCTCCCTGAGATGTCCTCCCGAGGAGGTGACTTTGGGGAAGACTGGTGCCCCTGTGACCACAAGAGAGACCCCTCTATCAGCCCGCTAGGGTCTGAGGGAGAGCCGGACCCCAGGGACTTTCTACAGCAAGGGAACGGCCCCTGTGACCTGGGCACCCTGAAGGGTTGGTCGGTGCCTGTCCCTCCGCCAGGGGGGCGTTTCTCGTGTTATGCTACTGTCTGCAGACGCATTTCTGGAAAGCGCGCCTAGCTCCACAGGGCCGAGACTCTGGGTCTAGAATCACCAGCGTCCTGTCTTAGATGAGACTGAGGTCGGCCAGGCCCATGGAATGTCTGTAGGAACTGATCTGGCCATGGCAGCGAGGGGACAATTATAACTGGCCTCTACGAGGGCCACCACAGCCCTGATCCCAGTCCAGGTGTCGGGGACAGGAAGCGGCCTTAAGGTCAAGAGTGCCACCTGTGGATGCATCATAAGCAGGCTGAGTGGCCCGAAGTCGGCCAGCGGGTCAGGCCAGCCCCCACACCCCCGCCCCTGCCCTCTCCACCTTCCCCATCCCTGTAGCTCCCTGGGGGGACTTGGCACACAGGGCAGGCTCTCCCTCAGGGTGCTGGCAGGGTGGCTGTCCAGCAGCCCGTGTGCGGGGACGTCCTGCCCTGCAGACACCGCTCCCGGGAACCAGGGACAGCCGTGCACCTGTGTGTGTGTGTGCACAGAGTGGGCGGGCGGGAATGAATGGAGGCGGCCCCAGGACTGAGGACCACAGCCTGGCCCCTTACAGGAGGAGAAACTGAGGCTCAACCAGAGGCCAGGACAAAGGACGCAGAGCTTGGGGGTGGGAAGAGGGCCTGAGAGAAGGAGCCGGAGCCTGCAATCAGCCCACCCTGCTGGGGAGGCCAGGACCCCCCCCCCACCCAGCCTGTCCACGCCTCCCCCTAGCTGTCAGTGACTCTCCGAAGCCAAGTGCTGGAGGCCAGGCCACAGTCCCGATGGCCTCATGCCACCTGACACTCAGCAGGCGCACATCCCCTCGTGGTCAAGAGCAAGTGACAGTGGCCCTGGAGGACAGTCCTGACGGCTGCTCCACCTGATCCAGCCAGGCCAGGGTTAATGCTTGGGGAGTGAAGAAACTGGACGTAAGTGCAGCTAGGACGGGGAGCCAACCTGGGCACCTCTCACCCAGCCCAGCAGGCCTGCCGCTCTCCAAGCCGGGGAGGAGGAACGGGGAGCCTGCCAAGTCTGCCGGGCCCCAGGGAGGCTGCCCCATACTCACCCTCAGCCATGGTGTCCGCAGGGGGCTCCTCCAACGGCAGGTCCAGTGACCGCTGTGGGTGGGTACCTCCGGGCCTGGGGAACTTATAGTCGCTCTGGGGCGGGCCAGGGGCGGGCCGGACAGGGAAGGCGGGGACGGACGGGGAGGCCACCATTGCCCAGCCTGAGCCCACAGGGGCAGGACCCAGAGGGAGGGAGCAAGGGTGCCCCCTGGGGGACACCAGTGGCGCTCACAGCTGGGACACCACTAAACCAGCACACATAGAAGTGGACCTGGCTTAAGCGTGCACACACACACACACACACACACACACACACACACGTAAGAAAGATACCACGGTATGGACACACGGATAGAACGTGCGAACCTGCACACACACAAGATCAGATTCGAATCAGAGATGCAACAACACACAGACCCAGACGGACCCAGATGAGGGTCCACACAGAGACCACACACAATCTCAGGTACACAGTAAGCACACACCTCCCAGACAAGCTGTGGACACAAAATTAGACTGAGACATGCAGAGACACATAGATGCAGAATTCTGGAGGCGTAAGACAGATCCACGGACAGAAATGCCGTCTGATCCGGTGTCTTCCTAGAGCAAAACCCAGATAATGCTGCGTCCCACCCCCCTCCCGATCCAGCTAACCACCTGCTGTCTATCCTTCCATCCTTACTTCCATCCATCCATCCATCCATCCATCCATCCATCCAACCATCCATCCAACCATTCACCCACCCACCCATCCATTCACCCATCTTTCCATCCTTCCATCCATTTATCCTTTCTTTTCTCTTTCTATCCATTCGTGTATTCTTTCCTCTTCCTCCCCCTTCCTTCCTTCCTTCCTTCCTTCCTTCCTTTCTTCCTTCCTTCCTTCTTTCCTTCCTTCCTTCCCTCCTTCCTTTCTCCTCCTTCCTCTATCTCTATTTCTATCTCTTTCTCCCTTCCTTCCTTCCTTCCTTCCTTCCTTCCTTCCTTCCTTCTTTCTTTCTTTCTTTCTTCCCTCCCTTCTTTCTCTTTTTTCTTTCTCCTTCCTTCCTTTTCCACCTTATTCCTTCCTTCCTCCCTTCCTTTCGCCCTGCCTTACCCCTCTCTCCCTCTCTGCATCCATCCACCTACCCACCTTTCTATTCACTTATCCTCCCGTTGCTTTCCCCACTGACTGTGGGGCCCCAACTGTGGGCCAAATGGAAGAAAAGTCCACCTTCCAAGAACTCAGCTCCGGACCCTTCATCCCTAACGCTCTGGGAGAGGGGCGGGACGGGTACTGCAGACCCTGGTCCCTCTGATCCCCTGTCCTATTTTTCTTGGGAGGGAGGAAGTGGTTTGGGCCACACCCAGGCTCTGCTCCTGGTGATGCTCTGGGGGAGAAACCCAGACCTCCTGCACACAGAACACACAGGTAAGGCATCTGCTGCTTCCGCAGGTGCTTGACTCTGGGGTCTTGGTGAACGATCTCATGACCCAGCGTTGGCTCTGCTGCTCCAGCTCCTGCCCACAACAATATTATACAAACATTGTCACCAAAACTGTTCACTGCATGTGGCTAGCACTCAGAGGAAGGATGGGGTGAGCCACTGCTGATCAGGAAGACATGTCTCAAGTTCCCCCCATGGCCACTGCCCGACTTTGAGGCTCTCAAGGGGGTTTTTGGCCTCCAGGCCTCAGTGTTTCCCTCTGTGAAATGGGGTGCGGGCAGAAATGTCTGCTTGACAGGCCTGGAGTCGGATTCAGCAAGATGACCTCCTGCAAACTCCTTGTACACAGGGAGCACTCCACAGCGGGACTCTCTGAGCACCCTGAAACCTGGCCCTGAAGGACAAGGGCCCCAAGGAGTCTCAGGAGGCATGAGACAGTTAGGCTTTGCCCCAGGAAGGTCTCAATCTGACATTTGCTTTTAAAAGGGTCCGTCCGCCTCAAATGGCTGGGCGCTTTTCCTGCGCTCCTCTTTCCATCAGAAAATGGCAAGTTTTTTGATGGAAAACTTGGGAATTTTCTCCTCCCCTCGGTACTCATCTGCCTCTATCAGACTGTAGGACAGACTGCGCCCCCCCACCCCTAAGTGTCTCCCTGCTTCCTTCCACTCTGGCTGTGGTGGTGGGGGGGTCACACACTAGCTTTGGGGCACTGGACTTTGCCTTCGGCTTGTGGCTCTCAAACCACAGTCACTGGGATCTCATTCAGCATGTGGGTCAGTGTCAGGGGTTGAACTCGGGGCCTCCCACTGGAAGCCCGGCATTCTCCCCGAGTCCACCAGCGTCAGGCTGTCCCTGGTGCCTGGCAGGGGCTTGGCCCAGCAGCCCCTGTGACCTCCTGTGCAATGCAGGCCTGGGCCAGGCAGGGTGAGAATTGGCTTCCGACAGGTGTCGGGTAGAGGCCTGAGCTCGGGCTGGGTCCCAGGACTTCGTCCTTTCCCCTGCTTTAGCGGGGCTGCGTCCTCTGCTTTGTCTTACCTCGCTGGACAAGGAAGGACTCAAGACATTTGTTTTTCTGGGATGGGGTTTTGGGAAATCGAGGCCCAGAGACGGAGGTGTGAGCCTATGGTTCCCCAAAAGAGCAGGCAAGAGCTCCTCCCTGATTGTCTCTTACAGGGGTGCAGGCTGAGGTTAGAATAGGAACATCTGTGCTTCTCTGCAACTGGGGATGTTATCAGATTTCTCACAAACCGTCTCCTCCTTTATAAAACACTGCTGGCGGCGAACGTCCCACTACCAGGCACATAGTAAGTGTTCAACTAACATCACCTAGAACTGTGTATGTTGGTGGGGAGTGGGGACCAACCCCAGGACCTCACATGTGCAGGGTAAGTGTACTACCACTGAGCCACATCCCTGCTCCCTAAAACACTGTTTGGTAGGGATAAGGGGTTTGAGCCATAGGCAGCAGTGCTCAGGCCCATTCCTAGTCTGTGCTCAGAAGTGGCCCCTGTGGTACTCAGGGAACTGTTTGTATAGGGGTAAGGCGGGGCCCCCGGAAGCATGTCTGCAAGGCAGGTGCCTCACCCCCTGTATTATCTCTGTGGCTCCAGGCCCCTGAAACTCTGGGTGTGTTTGCATTGGGGGCCCCACTTGGTGTGCTCAGGGCTTTCTCTGTGCTCAGGGATCATTCCAGCAGCACTGGCAGGACCGTTGTCATTGTCATTGGTACCAGAATTGAATCAGGGCCAGCTACGCTTGAGGCAAACTACTTCACCCACAATCTCTCTGGCCCTCAGCCCTGAGACTTTTAAATGATGCTTAAATCACTTAAATCAGTAGGCAACAAATCATAGAGGGCCCAGCAAGCTACCAAGAGTATCCTGCCCACATGGCAGAGCCTGGCAAGCTCCCCGTAGCGTATTCTATATGCCAAAAACAGTAACAATAACGGGTCTCATTCTCCTGACCCTGAAAGAGCGTCCAATACAGCACCGTTGGGAAAGATGAGTAAGGAGAGGCTGCTAAAATCTCAGGGCTGGGGGGCTGGAGCAGTAGCACAGCAGATAGGGTGTTTGCCTTGCATGCAGCCAACGTGGCCAACACAGGTTCGATTCCCAGCATCCCATATGGTCCCCCGAGCACCACCAGGAGCAATTCCTGAGTGCATGAGCCAGGAGTAATCCCTGAGTATCGCCGGGTGTGACCCCCAAAAAAAAAGCAAAAAAAAAAATCTCAGGGCTGGGACGAAGGGAGACTTTACTGGTGCCCGCTCGAGTAAGTTGATGAACAATGGGATGACAGTGATACAGTGCTTAACAGTCTGGCCTCCACCTGTCCTCCCCAAATAGAGGATCCTATAAGTAGGCGAAGGTGGTTGTAGATGATGGAAAATATTTAGGAGCCCACAGAGAGCTCCCAGTGTGCCCAGGGCAGAAGCATTTGGAGGATCAGCTTCCCCCTCTTCCAAGAGTGGGTCATCAGGGGACTGGGTCGACCCAGTCTCTCCAACACCGAGCAAATGAAGCCGAGGGCAGGATCCCTGCTTCTGAGTTAGGATGTCTCGCGTAGCGTGGACCTGCCCAGGAGACAGAGAGGAGTTAGAATGGAAGGAAGGATGCACCAAAAGAAAAAGGATTAAAGTTCAGAGAGGGTGAGGAAACGGTCTCAGGTCACACAGCGCATCTCGGCTCCGGGCTCAGCTCAGCCTCAAGGACACTGACCCTGGGCCAGAGCTGACCCTGGAAGGCTGAGCCAGTGCAGAGGAGGAGCCACCATGGGTGGGACGCGATACAGCAGCTTTTTAACTCACTGGTGACTAATGGCAGATGAGCAGTGTCTGGCATGGGGGCCCCGGGGAGGGCCCCGACTCCCCAGGGTAGGATGAGGCGAGGTGGGAGCTTAGCACCGGGCACTCGGGGGGAAATGTCAATGGGCAGGCGTGACCTCGCAGGCCCTCTGGAGCGGACTCAGGGTGGCTGTGGGGGCCGAGAGCAGGGCCCCAGCCTGCAAGGTCCATTCGGCAGCTGTGACCGCACTGGCACCCTCGAGTGTGCCGGCTGCCCCCTGCCCCAGCACCCCAACACCCATCTCAGCTCTGAGCTACAGGCAGAGATGACCCCGTCCCTCCTGGAAGCAGAAATCAAGTCCCAGCCCTCCCAGGGTCAGGGTGACGTAAGCATGTCACAGGGCCCGAGGGACCTTCTGAGAAGCAGCCAATGTTCTCAAGCTCGTTTTCTCCCCTACTGGAGGGGCCCAGGGTGCCAGGATGAGTCTGCCTGGCATCCCAGCCTTGGGGGTCTAGCCACCAACCCCGGCTCCGGCTTCCTCCCTCTGTGCTGCCCCCAGGACTCCCTACTCCAATGCCCTTCTGGGGCTGGCTCCCCTCATGCATTCCCGCTCCCCCCACTCATACCCCCCCTCGCCCCCCCCCCCCCCCCCCACCGCCAGGCTCGTTCAGGCTGGAAAGGGCTCTGGGGTGAGTCTAGAACCATCACTGACAGGATCTGCAGGGCCACTGGGGGGACCAGGACATGGTGTGGGGCCTCTCGGCTCTCAGCCTCCAGGAGAAACAAGGCACGTCCTCAGGAATCACTAGAGGAGGAAGACCCC